ATAGTTCTTTTGATTTGGTTGACTGTTTTTTAGTGCCACAGATTAATAACTTATGAATAGGAAGAAGGGGTCTTAAATTGGAAGAGGTTGCTAGAATTGTGATTTAATGTGGCTACAAATGGATTTCTCAATTAAGTTCACTAGATCTCTATAGTTTTAATACACAGTTTGCGTTTCTGACTGGGGAATTGCTGCTCTAGGCTCAGGCTGATGGTTGGAGGCGGAGAATATGGCTAAGGGATTTGAATCATTATTTTACCATTTTCTTAAATAGAGGGGATTAACATGCATTATTGAATAGTCAGTTGCACAAAAAAAAAATATAAAATTGCAGAAGAAATTAATTTCTGGAACGTAATATTGTATTTTTTTTGTTTTAATTTGTTCGAAAATCATAGAAACTTGTCCGATTAATTTCAGTTGTTTGCTGCACTAATTGCAACATCAATTTGTTTTCAAATTGATCGTGATAACATGCACAAATTTTTACAAGATTTAATTATTCATGTTGTTGTGTTTGGATATCAGATCAGTAGCTTTTAAGATGATGATGCTTTGTGATACGTGGATATCTACAAACGTGATAGAAAAGTCTGTCACATTTTTTTTATTCTTGGTCATTTTCATGTAACAGTTGATATCAATGACAACTGGTGTTGACATTGATTGAAAATAAATTTGTGTGAGTAGAATGTAACATGAGTTGATGTTTTGTGAAATAAGTGGTTAAAATAGTTGGATTAGTTTGTTATTTAAAAAAAGCTCTGGCAATGTATATATTGATTAGATTCTGGTTAACCCCATTCTTACATATCATGCACTTGTTGCAGAAATTTAATTTGTGTTTTTATTACATATATGTATTTTGCTGTGGTTGTCATGAATTAATGTACCTGTACACAGTGTATGGTTGTAAGTTACATGAGGATTTATTTGCATCATTTAAGATAAGAAATCACTATACAGATGGTACTATGTCCAAATCACAAAGTGTGAAATCACAATTTTTTTGAAGGAAAAAAAAATTGTTGTGATCATGCATTTTGTACACTTTAATACAAATGAAAGGGATAAAAGCACCCCCATCCTTTTCCATTAGCCAGTAATTTTTTTATCAAAATTAATGTGTACAACTTGGAATTTGAAATATTTGCATCTTCAATTATTTATCTTTTGAAATTTGATGAGGATACACTTTTAGGTGTGATGGGTCTCTCCTACAACAGAGGTAATTTTACACTTGTATCAAATTCGACTGCAGTTTTAGTAGCCGCTTATACTGATTGAACTATACATTTAAAATTCAAAGAGGGTAATCAGAAATGATCATACACCAGCTAGAAATAAGTATTTTTTAATGATTTACCAATTACAAAGTCAAAGGTCAAGTCTGATGGTAGTAATTATGGTACACTTGACTTTTGATATTTGGAACATTGCTATCTCAGATACTGTGAGTATGTAGTGTGAGTTGGTTGTCTCAACCCTTATTTCTTTAAAACCTCTGTCATTGTAAATCTGAAAATTTGGGACGTCCCATTGAGTTCCAGATAATGAGGTTTGTTTGAATATATACATGACTTGTATGTATCTTAATATATCTCTTTCTGAATTACTTTAATAGGAACTTGGAAAGTGATAATTAAATAATTACATGTTCACCTACCATGTGGACTTTAAGTACGCCATGACATTAAAAATCTGCATCTCATTGAACAGTTCAACAGTGACGTATGATGTATGACGCATTAGAGCAAGTGTTAGCATGGGAAAAGTTGTAAATTTAGACAAGATTAGTCACCCTAGTCAATGCATACATGACATTTTCTGTAATCAATATCAGGATTACATCATATTACCATTCGTCATTGACACCTGAAAGTCAAAATTATGTCCTAGGTTATCTTTATGCTTCATTTTCCAGTATTAAGATCAGAGGTCAAGGGCATGCTTTGCTAATGAAGATTGGCACATAAATGTGCAATGTATCATCCCAATTCTTTTGTAAAAAATTTTCAATGATTATTATTTTTCCATTTCACAGCACTATGAATGGATAAAAGGTTCATAGGGTATGCATGTCTTAAACACGATTTACAGTGTCCTTCCAACCACCCCTCTCCCCCCCCCCCCAACCCCCCCCCCCCCCCCCCCCCAACCCCCACCACACACACATAAAATGCTTTTTCAATGACAAATCTTATCTTGGCTGCCTGATTTGCTAATTAAAGATCTATACCTGACAAAACAACATTTGTTCAAATTCAAAACCAGATATAACCAGTGACAACAAGAGTTTATAATGAGACAGAAGTTTAGTGTAAATTAATCATGTTAATAAAGAAAGTTTCTGTGAAACGCAAATATGTAAATCATGAATATGATGAAAGCTTATATCCTGAAATAGTGACCATGTATTATATTTATGTACATACATGCATTTTTTTTACATACATTATTTTGGTATCATTTAAGTAAAATTGGTTTTCTTGTCATTCCTTATACACATGAAATAAATCTGTATATACAATGTGAGAATTCAGATATTGTTTATAAAGTGAAGTTTATCTGGCCAATTGATTTGGAGATATATTAAAAGCATTGATTATTTGGCTGTGGGTTATTTTCATTCCGCCTTCCAATGGAGCCATTATTTGTATCAATTCGGAGTCCAGAAATCAATGTAAAGGGGAGAGGAGGCAGTATAGCTACAAATTAGTCATGTTTGATTGAGACATTTTACAGAGAAAAAAATTGATAGACCTGGGCTTGCTTCAGTGACTCACTATTTGATTTGCTGTGACGTAAAACATTTTAAAAACTGTCAAATTTCTTCATTTATATATAGTCTCCCTTGAGGTTTTTTTGATTGTATTGCTTTAGTCAGAACTACGGGATTAAGCACGTTAATTTCTATTGACTTTTAAAATCTTGTGAGTTTTGACGCAGATCTTTAAAATAGCTGGATGAAAGAAATCGGGGAAAAATGTAACCATATGCTCAAATTAAATGATTCGCAGATAGCATTTTGCTCATGCAAGCTTAAAAACTGAATGGTATAATAGTAAGTTATGTCTGTGATTATTCAAGATGTATAGTTGTGGGGATGGTGACATAATTAAATTACACTGTATAACATTCAATGTATAACGTGAAGTTGTTCTATAAAATGTATGAAAAGTGATTTTAAAAAAATGACCATATCCATCTTTTTGCTCAATGTCATTTAGTTTTGAAAACTTGTATGAAGTTTATAGCTATTGAGATCATCGGGTCTTGCAGGATTACATTGTAACAAGCTTTCTGATGTAAAAATTGAAGCCTATATAGATATTTATATTCCAAGATATGTCAGTCTTATAAATGCCAATATCAAAGCTTGATATACACTGGATCAGATACTCTCTTCCTCTTTCCACAGCTGTGTGCTGGACAATATATATATACGTATTATTAATATATATTTGATATATGGACAAAAAGACAAGATCTGGCAAAAAAAAAAGTATACACACATGAAAAAAGCATATTCTGTTGTCATGGTGATGGAGAATAACTTTCATACCTTTTCACCATTATGATATTAATGAGGGATCCTGTTGGTTTATATAAAATGGGGGTTTGCTGCCAGATTGGCGTAGGAATTAGCATGCGTGGTTGTTCTGGAAGTCGCATTACACACACACACACATTTCTTTTGTAGTGCCAGAATTCTCATATGTACATATGCCATCATTTAGGGTTTTTCTTTTCTTCTTTATTTTTATGCTTGTTCAGCAGGCAGAGGGATGTTTTTTTGTTCCCACAAGGAATTTAAATGCTGTATAAGATTTGTGACTAATGTGTCAGGAAGTTAGAATGGATTATTAGACAATAGATTATTAAAGGTAGGGAAACAGTATTTTTGATAAATAGCTGTTTTAGTGTTGTACACCAACAGTTTGTGTGAAAAACCTGTGTAAATTTGTACAGTTTTATAAACCAAATTTACCTTTCAAATTGTTTTATTGTTTTATATTTTGAGGAAAGTATGTCAATTTTTATCCTCAAGATGTCCTTTTAATTACTTAAAATACTCCCAGATTATTTATATATTAAAGAGGAAGTTTATATATGTATTTTTGAGCAATACACACATTGTCAAAAAGTAAATTGCATTGATTAATTTTAATTGAGCCTGCTATGTGAATCTTTAAAATGTCCACTCCTCATCTGTCATTTGGATCCACCCCTATATCTTTGCTCTCCAAAAGTTAAACTGAGATGCAGACTGCAGAGCACTGGTAGAGGATGCAGTGTGTGGTAATAAGAGATTTCCTTCATTGATTATGTTGCATAATTGATGCTTATTCCTGGCTGGCCCCCTGAGCCTCTGTTTGGATTAACTCAGGTAAAAATCGCATACCTCACAGAATATCTGATTGTCTGTGTCAAGTCCTTTGTAAGAAATTCACCAATAGACAATTTTTGCATCCATCAGCATTCATCATTGGGATTGTTTCACAGTTGATCGAGTTCTATTGAATGATCATGGGGAGGTTATATATATAGAGGCAGTTTAACTCAGTGTGTGTGTGATTTTGCACAGATCCATATTGTGTCTGGTGATTACGTTTTACGATATGCTGATCATTCTTTGATTTCTGGGAATTTCTGACACGTGTCTGGCTACTTGTGGAATTTGTGTCAGGACCTGGTTATCTTGCCAAAAAAAAAAAAAAATCAGTGGCAGCCGTGCATCTTCTGGGCATGTCGGAGGACCGCCAATACATGGTTACAGATTGATTAAAATTGACACTAGTGTATTGATCAGGCTTCCATATTACTGTGGAATACACAGTTTTACGCTAAGGGAAAAAAAAAAGAAGTGTACAGTGGGCCCTAGTGGCGAAAGCTAAAGTGTGCGTATTGATTGTGGGGAGGGAGGAAAGAGAAGGACACTACTTCAAGGTTACAATGTGCAGGCATTTCTCCTGACCAATCTGTGCTTCTATTTATAGATAATGGTTGCCCCATGTGATGGATAGTGAATGCTGAGCGATAAAGAAATCACAACAGATATATTTATTTAGGTGAGTTGCTTTTATTTTATCCCCATTGATTTTCAGATGATAAGTATAACATCCCATACTGAATCATTTTCCTTCTGATTTTTAGAAGGGAAAAAAATTATTTGGTCAGGAAATAGAAACGCTGTGTGAAGCAGAGGCTTAATAATGTTATTTCAGGCAGTGGTAGGGGTTTACCTTTGATGCTGCTTGGATGCTGAAAATGTCAGATTGTTTGATAAAAACACCCCTGTTTTCTGTTTGAGAGCATGATTGTTATGATATTGTTCTGTAGTGAAGGGATTTTATTATTGACTTATCCTATGCAATGTTGCAAAAATATGTTCTGAGCAGAACCCGCAGGTTTTAAGTGTATTTGAAGCTGGTGCCAGTTCATTTCTTGTTCAGTTAATCCAAAATGTTAAGTTAATGATGTAGAAGCTATAATCCCCAGTGTTATACATATATATATGTGTTTACTTGACGTCCTTAAAAAAAAATTTGCTTGCATTAAGTAAAACAGATTATTTTTTAGCGCAGTTCCTGTGTTTATAGTCTTTTTCCCTGGAGTCAAAGTTTATGACATGTGATGAAGTCAATAACCATTATAACTGTTTGGTAAATATTTTCCATATCTAATTGAAATTTGGACTGATGACACATTAATTCAGTTCACATATTGGAAAACAGTTGGGAGTTGGAAAATTGATTTGACAAAACTTCTGGTTATTTATGTTTTCATCAGCATATTGGATAAAATTGGATAGTTTAGCTGCAAGGAGTATGGCAATTTATTGATTTCAATAAATCTCAATTTGTGCTGGTATTTTGTAAGGGAGTTCAGGGAGGCCTCGTGTAACAGAGCGCAGCTTTCTGCCCATCAATGTCTTGTGTTCCCAATAAAGCTGACAACTAGCAGCAAAATTAACATGGCTTATTCACTAAAGACTCTAAACTACCTCTTTAGATGCAGAAAACCTGAGAGGAAACAGAGGCCCCTGTAAGAAATTTGTTGTGTAATGTTTACTCCCACTAAAATTCTCAGTTCTGGCGAATTGGTTTTGACAAGAACACTGAAGCAAGCATGGCACCCCGGAAGTCTTGTACACACAGAGGGAAACCAAATAAACAAGGCCCTTTTCTAAACATTCCAGTATTAAAAAGCTCTTAAGTTCAAGATTTCCTAAGGACATGAAAACATCAGCTGGAGGCAGAAAGGAGCTGGATTTCTTTACACCTGTTAGAATCTAATGATAGGAATTGTGCTAAATTGATGATAAACACCACATAAACACACATGTATGGCAAATATTAAATTAGCAAGTGCCCTGTTTGCCCCAAGGAAGTGCTGATGACCCTAGAAGCACCCACCCCTGTTATCATTGATCTTCTTTGATTGACAAGGCACTAAGGTGCTAAAATGTAAGTCTTTTTGAAATTACTGTGTGTGTATTAAAATGTACTCCAAACTAATGTGAAACTAAAGTCTGGCAAATGACCTTCATGAGAGGTATACCCTCCTTTTTGCTTTTTTTGTGCAAGTTGGGCTGCTTACTGAGAATATCCAGCATGGAATTATTATCAAAAACTAATTTATTTGGAATTGTTTACCTATGCCGTAGGCAAACATGTCAACATTGGTGATACATTAAGACTTACATTAGTACAATCTTAACAGTTTGGTGATTCATTATTCCACCAATATTGATAATCAATTGTGGACTGATGCATTTAAACAGTAGGTTAACAGTGGTTGATTAAAGTCATGTTTTTTATGAATAACAAATGACTTATTTTGTCATGATAACTATGGTTATTATTATATTTTATTTTAAGTTGTAAATGAAGAAAGACTTCTTTGACACTATCTCCCCCAGAAATTTCACCTTGTCATGAATGGTTGGTTGCAAATTGTACATTAATGGGTGAAATACCAGTTTCCAAATCTGATTTGAAAAAAAAAAAAAGGTTTCTTGACCTGAAGTCCAAATATGCTGAATGAGGCTTTGTTAGTCATGCTGAAAAAAATTTTCAGGTTATGGACAGACTTAGATTTTGTTAACAGATTTTAACAGTTTGGTGATATTTTGTATGTATACACACATTAAACTTTTGTGTACTTTAAGGGGGGAAAAAATATCCCTGTGTCTCCCTTTCCAATTGTCTATGACCAGTCTTCTAAATATAGTCTCCATAAAATTCAATTATAGGGAGAGAAAGTTACAGCTGTGTTTAGCAGCCCATCAAAAGGACTCTCACCTTTCAATTAAGTTTATAATGAGATCCCAAAAACCGTTCCTTACAGCTTTGAGAGGCCATAACAGCATATAAGTCGCAACTTACAACAATGCTACAAACACCAAGAGAAAGGGGCATGAAAAACAACTTTAGGTGCTTGCTATAGTTACTACAGGGAAGCAAGTATTACAGAAGCTCACAGTAGTTAAGATTCTGTCAAAGCTAATGGGGTTCAGAGTGGGCTTGGTGCCAAATCTACTATTGCACTGCTGCACCAATGGAAATGACCTCATTGCCAGGAATACAACTAATACTGAAAGATAACACACAATGCTGGTTAACCCTGGGGTTGATATTCACTGTTGAGGACATGTGCACATGAATGCAATTGTACATTGTGTTTATGGTGTGGAGTTTTAAGAAGGAAATACCAAAAAGAAAAAGCAATAAGTTCAGTCCAAATGAGGCAAAAAATTTGAAAAAAGTATAGCAAATGCAGTGGATAAGAGGGTTGCTGTTTGATACATTTCTGAAGAGTCGTGCACAGTTTTAGCAAATATAGCCGATGTTAGACATGAAGAATTGAGTTGTTTAAAGTCCATCAAAGAGATGTAATGTTTGGGTTATTTTAAAGTACAGAACCATGGGTATTGGTAGAATACAGTTGTGGGTTTGTTTAAATTCCATGGTTCAGACTAAATTAGGTCTTATCGATATTAATGGATTTCTTTCCATGAAAACTTTTACCATTATTAGTACCCAAATTGTACTGGGGAGACAGTCAGTAAGGAGAGAGATTTAATATTGAAGAATGTCAGGATTCGGATTGGATGCTTAAATTAGTACATGACAAATCTTTGGCTTTAAATTTGGTCCTCATTTCAATTCAGACCTCATGCATGCTGTTTTATTTCAGATACATCTTGTAAGCCATGATTGCACAATCTTACTACTTTGGGACCACATGCAGCTTGCAAAATGTCAAGGTGTGCAAATAACTGTAAAGAAAATAAGAATTAAATGCAAGATAGGATTATGTTCTTGACATTCTGGAATATTCTTGCCACAGTTAGAAGAAGAGTTGTATCCATGTTTTACACTGGTATTGTTAATGAACTAAGACAAGGTTTAAGCAGTGTTGTGTTGTCTCTGTGAATTCCTCCTGCTAGCAGAAGCCATCAGTATGTAATGTACTTGTTGCATCTCATGTCCTGTAGGCTGCCAAGTGTTTAGAATGCTTGAGTGAACTGGAGGCTCTCATCTGCTATCATTAAGTCACTCTTTCCCTTTGCCTCACTAGAAGCTTCACCAACTTCTGAAGAAAGATTTGGCAAAGGGAAGGGTTTGAATCCTCTTATTGTGGCACAACACAAAAAGGCCTAGAAAAGAGTTACCTTGTCAGGTTTGATAAATAATTGGTTGCTGAAGAGAAATTTGTAATGAAGTGTCACAATAGTCACATGTGTGAGGAAAAGTTATTGCTAATTCTTTGTTCAAGTTCTTGGGGTGGGTTGGAAAGGGGGATCAGAGTTGAATTTTTTTGTTGATTTCTAGCCATGTTCAGCATTGGACTGTAAATACTGTAGATTGGCAAATAATCACGATGGTTTTAATTTCACTATATTCGCGATTCATTATTTTTCTGCGAAATTAAACCCATCGTGAATGCTACATTAGTTTTTAAAAATGTTTAAATGCTTATACGAAATTTAAATTAATTTCTTGCAGCGTGAAATTTAAACCATCGCGATTGGTACTTTTTGTGAAATCATGAAATTTTTACACTGTGGAAAAAAAAAACGACTTGCAGTACTCCATTAACCTTCTTTGAGTGTTGCATAGAAAGTTTAATATTGTTCAAGGCTTGATTATTAAAAAATACTTTTTAGGGAGAGGGCAAAGTAAGTTTTAAGAACTTGTGCCCAACCCCATTGTATATATATTTACTACAGTAAAATATGTTCAATTCAATCATAAAATGAAAATCATCAATTGATGGTATTTGCAATGGAGATTTTCTTAAGTTTTGGTACGTGTTATAATTGGATCTTGACCAGTAAGAATCATTCCATTATTTGGAGTCCTTAAATTTTGCTACATTTTGAAGTGGATTTAGTTTTTTAAAAAAATGTAGTCATTGGGCTCCAACCTGTGAGGAGAAGAAGTTATGCCAAAAGGGGTTGATGCATATTTATTGTTCTTTAGTACTGTCAGTTTGTTATATGGTATTAAGGCGACAGTCATTGTTGTCCTGACCATGTTGATATTTCATTCTTTTTCATAATTATCAATTACTGTAAAAAGTGTAAAAGGTAGAGTAAGACGAAGACTCATTGCTTTAAGGTTCATAGGCCCTCTGCTAAGAGAGATAACTCTAACAGCGATAAATAACTAAAACTGTCAAATTAAAGACTTTGTCTGTCAGATTTTACCCTGAAGGTAAGCTAAAATTATTTGCATCTTGATTATAATATAGATTTGGAAAACCATAAGCCTTCGAGGAAAATTTTACACGAGTGAACAGAGGAACTTTGAACCTTGATATTACTTTCGAATTATGATACACAGAGCATGAAGATTCTGTGAAATACTTATATGTATACAGTAAAACTAGCTTATAAGGAAGTCTCTGGGACCTCAAATTTTAATTCATTATTACAATATTCTTAATCAGTATAAGGAATAGAGTAAAAAGGTTACCAAGGGGATTCATAAGAAATCCTTCTAATATTTATAAGGAAGATTTCCTGTTAACTGAGTTCTTTACAACCAAGTTACACTGTATATGTCTTTATACCAGTAACCCATGAAGTGAAAACTCAAAGTTGCAAACAATATTCATGCTTGTGTTATTTATTTTCCAACAAAATTTAATTGCCAGAAACTGTCAAAAATTAAGTTTAGCCGAGAAGTTTTAGGCATTAACACTTCTGTGTAAGTTCTTTGGCTGAAAAAAATATCTCACACACCGTCCATGATAAATTGGTGTGACTAATTAACAAAAAAGCTGGGGAAATATGAAACACTTGTTTATGAATGTTCTGGTGGTGTAGTTCTGCAGGGGATCCAGTGAAGGGGCCCCTGAGTTCAGCAACATGTAAAAATTATTATAGATAAGACTTAATGAAAGTTCTTTGATCTCTGGAAGAATATTTTATTAGAAACAAATTGTTCTGAAGTATTAATGTGTTTCTCTTTTCTTCTTTTACAGGTAATTGATGGATAGATCACAGGTATGCTATCTTTTGTTGAGGAATGCCAAGAACTTTTATTGATGTTTTTATGCTCTTTAAACTAGCCACCGTCAGTCTTAAGGCAAAGCAACATGAAATTTATTGAAGGAAACGATTACTCATTTAAGGAATCTCATTTATGAAAAAAAGGAGAATAAAATTATTGCTGTGTGTGTAACTTGTGGACAAGCATTAAAGGAGCTTATGCATTGGTTGGAGTGTCCATTGTCTGTCTCTTCATCTGTTTGTGAGCTGTGCTCCTTCTTTGGTTTTTTTTTTTCAAGTAAAATGAGATGTTAAGGTATTGGCAAGTAATGAATAAATTTTGAAAAATGATTTCTACTGATGATCTGTATTGCTGCTGAAAGTGAAGTGGAATTTTGCTGCCCATATAAAAGTCTCAGTGCAAAGTATTTCAAGTTTTCTCATAGACTGTAGAAATGCACCATTGTGATTAAGGGTGCAACGATATACCGTTTGACGGTATATCGCGGTATATTTTTCCACGGTTCAATTCATGATACGCTAAAACTGATATCTCGGTTCGGTTCAATCCGTCCAGAATTATCCGAATCGTCCGTTTTGTTTCCTTTTTTTACAATTTCAAAATGGCTTCCGTGCAAAACGTGAGGTCGCCGATAACGCATTAAGGGAAGTTAAACTCATCTCCAGCATCTTACAGACCTCAGATTTAACATGGAGAAGGACTGAATGTGATTATAAGTTATAGATGTTAAGACAAATGATAAACCCTTTAGATCTAAACGTATTCTTTGGTAATACACGATATTTCATCACGTGTGTATTTCAATGAAAATTCACTGTCTAGTTGACTAAAACATGTTAACACGGGAAATATGACAACTGGTTTTCTACGTAAATAAAAGGAATAAAAGAATGAATGTCTTTCTTTTTCATTCCAATTTAAAAGGAAGATTATTAGGAAAGGTCCCCATAGTTCCCTGAATCCCTGTAAATGTTCATCATTGGTTTAGAATATTCTCAAAACTCAAAGATCTACCTAACAATCCAATTCAAGTTAACAAAATGTTATTTAAATTATTATTAAAAATATGATCATTTTATATAACCCTGTCAAGTTAAAAAACAAATATGATGACGAACTTGTAAGACTTTTTAACCTTTTATGTATCGTGATACGTATCGTATCGTGAACTGAATACCGTGATACGTATCGTATCGTGAGGTTAGTGTATCGTTGCACCCCTAATTGTGATAGACGTATAGTTCCATATATCATCATTACAGAACATTCAAACTGTCATTAAATTCTAACTGAAACTTAAATTTTACTTGTATGTAATTTGTACATGACATGATGTTTGATAACTCTGAAGACTCCAATGAATTTATATTGGGAAATACATTAAGCAGATCTGTTGCACTAGCTTGCATGCATCTGAGTAGGATGGAGAAAAGAAAAAAAAAACTGATGAATTTCTTGATTTACGCATGCTGGCAGCTACTCCAGATAATGCCAGACTTATGGCTTTTTCTTTTGACAACAATAATCTTGTAATTTAAACCCATGTTCAATAGGAAGAAATGTTTTTTTTTTTCATGGAGGGAGGTGTCAAGGTCACAGATTCTGCTGAAGTGATTGTAAACATGGGAAAGAGTTGTGTGTTGTTTGTCAACCTCTCTGCATTTGTATGACATATTCACAAAAAGTATGCCTTATAAATATTACATTTTTATGTGTGTACTAAATAGACTCCATGTTCAGGTGTTGGAAAATAAAAGTCTTGAAATGGAACCATCAAGCATTCAAGGGCTATTTGGATTCTTAAGGCTTTTTCACTTTAACGTACTGTGTTGAGATCAAGTGGATTGTACATTATGGAGGGGGAGTAAATTTGAGTTCATTGTACTTGAATATATTTAATTAACTCATCTATAGATAAGGATATTTTCTGATTACACATTACTTTGGTTATAGACATGTTTGAGTAAGTTCAAGGTGTAAGAAATTATATGTGCCCTCTGAAGGGAAATGCACTAGGTTTTATTATTGAGACCTTCATTTCTAACTTGGTTTTTGTTGCTGCGTCAACTTCTAAATGGAATTTAATGGATGATAAAAATCGATGTTAAAAGTACATGGAGGGGAGGGGTATACATAGAAAACAGATTGAGATCTGCTTATTGTTTCAGTGAATTTTTGTGTAGGAGGTTTGATGATCTGATGCAGAATTGCTGAAGCTGCTGTGACTAATGTTAAATTCGTTGATGAACGTCTGATTATAATGCAGAAGATTCTTGAAGGATAAATGTTTACCTGTTGCTCCTGAATAATCAGGACAATATCTAATGATCTGATGATCAAAGGGAGGGAGCTTTTGTTATCTATCAGTTAATTTAGGGTTCTTGTTGAAAGAAAGAAATGATATTGCACAAGAATGTGTATATAATTGGATTTTTCCCCCTTTGTTGCAAAATTCTGATAGAAGAATCTAAATGTGACGATCTCTGACTAAGTACAGAGAGGTCAGACAGAAATGCCATATTACAAAACCTCTTTGATTGGTGACCTCACAGTGCCAATTCAATATATTTCTCCAGAATAACTCACGCATTGATTTCAAGGGATTTTTTATTGCATAAAGAATAAAGTATTTGACATTTACTTAGTATTTGGTCGTTAGAGCATTTTCTGGCATTCATTATCCTTCTATATTTGGACTCTGGGATCTTAGGCTTAATTTGCTAGGTCTCTTTCTCATATTGATTTCTACAGTTAAGCAATCATATTTTCATGGAATATATCCATCATTTTTGAAAGCAAAAGTTGGATTAGCAAAAAAGGATAGATAGATATATATATACTTAGGTTTAGAAAGGGCTGGGGGGGGGGGGGGTGGCATTGGCAAGGAGGGAGGGGGTTGAAAGAAGCAAGTAAAAATTGACATCTACATCCTGATGAGTTCAGATTTTTTTAATATTTGATAAGGGAATGTTGTTTGCATACTTTGTATAATAAAATGGGGGATGATTTTAGGGTACTTGTGAAATGATAGAAATTATACCCATATATTCTCTTTAGTGTGATTAAAAGATCAATCAGATGAAATCGTAAGAGTTTAAAAGTATTAGCGTTTATGATTTCACACAGAAATTAATGCTGTCAAAATCAAGACTTGAAATTAGCGAAGACTTGCACATCAAAACACACATGGAAAAAAAAAAACCCAGCTGGGGTAATTGGATGGTCAGTAGATATATATGTATTATTGACCCATCAAGATGTATATTTTGCTACAAGGGTTTTGAACTCGTTTGGATGCTGAATAACCATAATCGAATGAACTCTGTCACATGAGAACAAGATCAGGGATTTTAATATGTTTGTATGTATGAAGCAGGCTGAGTGTTAGATGTCCAGTGTTTTTTTTATATATATGGCTTCTCTCGAGATAAAATATAGGATTGTGTATTGATTTATTTAATTGTGCTTTTTTATTGCTTGGTGATTGTGACTTGGATTCAAACAGTAAGACCCAAGAATTGTCATATTTCTAAAGGATCATATCTGTGTATAGATTTATCACATAGAGAGAGATCGAGGTATGTAATACATGAGGGCCGTGAGATCAATCGGGCTACATGTAATGTGTTTGTATGAAAGCTGTCTATACATACTTAGTGATTTCACTGGGGGATGTATAGTGATGGATTAACTCGTTATTGAGGATAGATTGTAAGTTATTTTTTTTCACAAGGTTGTGATAAAAATATTTAATAATGTAGTCATGTCAAGTAAAATTTGCATTCCTTGAATCTTCAGAACCTTGCATTTGATTAGGGCTTTATTTAGGATCTTGTGACATCTTTCATTGATTAACAATATATATCTGCTGTTTTTTCCCCCATCATAACTCACGTGTTCTTGTTGAATGGTAAGCTTGTTGCTGCAGTCAATTGATTATTATATATAAATATATATATATATATATATATATATATATATATATATATATATATATATATATATATATATATATATATATATATAGCTGTATATGCAGATATGCAGAGAGAGAGAATAAAATCTACTTGTTATATACATATTTTTTGATATTTATTGATATAACTATATATAATATACATTATTTTTATTGTGACATTTTTTGCTTTTCTTATATTAGGACTTATGCAATACACAAAATGACTAACAACAAAATGAAAACTATAATATATAAAAATATGTATACCCTGTATGTATGTATACATATACACACAGTGATTTCCGACACAGAAGTCTGTACTAGAACATGTTTTTACACATTTCCTGAGTGGGAAGAGTCTACAGGATGATAAGGATGTATCTTAGCTGTAGGTCTAAAGGTCAGGAGTTAATTGTATACATACACCTGTTGATGATGTTAACTGAACAGAATTAACAAAGATTGAGGTAAAAACAAAGTTGTATTTTTGACAAGAATATCATGACTGTCTCGAGAATGCGTGAACGTACTTATAAGTTGTTTTTGCAAATTGAATGAATTTTCCAAGATCAATCACTTCAGAATATTAAAAAACAACAAAGAAAACTCTGATTTAGTTCTTTGCAGGTGGGGAAAAAATCCTGACAACTTTTGGAAATGGGTGTTTCTATGGCTTTAAGCTAAGCGAGAAGTTAACTACAGGTGGATCTCAGTTTTTTAGTGGCAGGTCATGATAAGTTGATGTGATATGCGTATATAATGCACCTGTATTCTTGTGTTGAATTTATTTTCGGGAACATTCTCTCTGGATTTACTTGCATTAATTTTCTTTCTGCATCATTATGACGTGTGATGTAATGTTTTACTTTTTTTCCCCCATCTTCTATTACTGTGACGTGAAGTAGGCAAGCCAAAAAAGTGCATTTAGTATGTGTGTGGAATATAACTTGCTTTCATTTTGAGCAGACAAGAAAAAAAAAGTTTCTTTTATAGGTACATATTTCCTGTGGACCTTGATAAATTGCCCTAATTAGTAATTACACCTAAGTTTTTAAACCTGTGTGTGGTTTAGTTATATTTTGTCTGCAGCAGCTGTGTGTAATTTGTACAGGAGATCAGGAAACCTATGATTAATCTGCTGCAAGTCAAGAACAGGTTGTATCAGATAGGCAAAAGAATCTAAGTGAAAATATTGTGATTTCATAATGTACCTATATAAATAGCAGCATGTATTGGAGCCAAAAACTTCAAAACAGCTTCTTTAGAGAGATGATGCATTTTGTGCTAAATATGAAATTTGGAAGCTAGAATAAGAAGCATATGTTTGTGCAGTATTTAAGTGTCAGGTTCAATCTCATTGCATATTGGCATTCTTTTTCACTTTGTGACAAAAGGTACCTATTTATATAAACATAATACAGTTATGTCGTAGAGTATTTGACAACAAACACACGAAGACATAAAATTGTTATATAAGGTGGGGTTTTTCAGCATTGTATGTTTCCACTTGAGGGGCTGTTGACCTAGTGGTTGACTTTTTTGTACTGAGAGAATTCCTCTGTTTTTTTGGTTACATCTTCATACTTTCTCATTATGTCTATGTATTTGTATGGATTCCTGTGGTTTCTGAGATAACAGGATTGTTACTACAGGTTTGGACCATTTCAGCCTTGACATTAATGGCCAGTAAAAAAAAAGGTTCTTGTCTTGAATTCTGATCCAAATAGCCCCCCCCCCCTTCGAGATTTCCTCCTTCTAAGCAGATGTATAATACATGACTGTGTGCTTTTCTGCAAGATACTGAAGGTTATTCACTGCATGTCTTTCTGCCATGCAGGCTTTTGTTTCTGTAGCCAGACATAGTGCAGGGGTAGATCCAGGATTTGAAGTTGGAGGGTAGGGGTGAAATGATATGCCTTCTTCACGGTTCGATACGTATCGTAAAATTTGGTCTCCGTTCGGTTATTTTCGATACAATACATTTTGATAGAAGGAAACAAATTCAACTGTTGTTTTACATGTTTTATGCTTCCTTTTACTTGATCTAGTCAAATAATTTATGTGCAAAATGGATAGAAGAAATCAATTTAATTGATTTGACTGTTAAAAATTATTTTACAAACTGTAAGTTCACAAAAATTTACGTTTTTTAACTAATTATACTGAGAAGCATGTTTATACCTTATGCCAAACCCGACTGAATGACGATCCCGACCGAAAAACGAACCGAACCGAAAATAGAGATTTTGTACCGTGTACCGAACCGAGAAAAAATCGATACCGCGATGAACCGTTTCACTCCTATTGGAGGGGCATCAACTGATTAGGCTCAAGAGATTTTGTAGGGCAGACTTGAAGTATTCAAAGAAGGCAATTTTATGATCTGCTGTTTTCATTTTTACTGAGGAGAATGAATGAAACTACAAATTTTTAAAAGTCTTTGCAATTGAAACTTACACAGTAAATTGAACCCCCCTCCTCCCAGGAACTCCTGCCTTGCAAGAATATATAAATCAGAAATGAATCTCTTTATTTAGACTTCTTTGTCTGAGGAATCATTTCTTTTCAAAGGGTGAACTATGATTTATCAAAAATTTGGGTATTTAAAAAGGGGGGGGGGGCTTTAATCAGCCACAATACTAAGTGCATAAGTTGAGAGTGACTTCAAATGACCAAGTTATAGCTGACAACAGAACCTCTGTCAGCTAATGTGTTATTAGCAGGGCTCTTGATTTTCTATAATTGGGGCTGTTGAACGGCCCCGTTTCCAATGCAAAAAAAGGTATCCTTTTTCCCCAAAGAAAGGTGTAAAATTCCCAATTTTCTGTAGCAAAATATTTTTAAAAAGAATCAAATTCAATGAAAATTAATCACCAAAAAAAAAAAAAACCCAAACACTTACAAGTGAAAGTGAAGCAAATAGGTTCTATGTACGACTGTATTAATTAGTTCACATCACATATATTCGTAAACTAGCTGGTTCGGGGAACCAGGTTATTGTTATTATAGACTTAGGTAACAGTGAGCTATAATGTGAAGTATTATGACTGACTCAATAAAATTGACAAGAAAACATCATCTAGGTGCCATAAAATAGAAATTTTATTTAAACAACAGTAGGCTGTGCCTAGCACCATGTGCACCAGTCAGTTTCAGGCTTAATCTGAAAACCACAATGACCATGAGATCGAGGAAATTCGAGAGGATGTGACTAGCGACTGTCTCTCAGAAAGACAAATATTCACAATTTCAACACTCAAAGTTAGTAATGAGCAAAGCCAATGTACTTCCATAAATATATCGGATCCATATTTGTTCTGTTTAACAGTTTCGATCTTCAAATGACAAAGTGCTAGAAAAGCAAAATTTGAGTGTTTTTTTATGAATGTTTGATTTCCCAATTTTCCCAAAATGATGGTAACTTCCCAATTTGAACGGCCCCTGTCCCAAAAAGTGGTGTGAGTGCCCTGATTAGTCAAGTTGAAATGGATATAAATCGTTACAAATTCATCAGTAAAGTGTAGAGTCTTAAAAGGCTGTGGCATGCTGATACTTGCTCCGCATCAACTGTATAACAGTGATGAATGCATAAGAGCAAGATGTAACACGGGAAAAGTGTTTAATGTCAAAAGTTTAATTGGTATATTCAGTGCATTTTTTTTTTTCTTTTTGGCTGGCGTCATTTAGTTGTTTGTGGTCTAAACTGTGGGTGGAAATGAATTAATGAACTAAAACTTCTGTTTCATTGAATAGCTATAGTGCAGGGGAAGGTATTTTCAGTTTTTGATGGAAACTTTTATATTTTATTTACACAAATGTGTGTGTGTGTGTTTTTTTTTTTCGGGGGGGGGGGGGGGGGGGGTCACATACATCCAAGATTGAATCTCTGTATCTATAAATGGATGGAAGTTTGTAAGAATTACTGATTCTATTCAGTACTCAGGAACTTAGAGATTTACAAAAAGAAAGATTATGTACATTGTACTCTAATGGTTGCTCTTGCATTTGTTCCATTTCATTTAGTTCAGTACCTGACACCAGTGGTAGATTAATTGCTTTTTCTGTTGTGAGTGATATTTTTACAATGCATTATTACTTTAAGGTTATTAAATATGGATAGGAAATATACAGCTTATGATGTAACAAGAGCATTGATTGAGTGTATTGTTCAATTAAGGAAAAGCATATATGTCTGAAAACTAATAGATTTAACAATGTATCCATTTGTTTTTCAGGACCTGGGCACAGTGGGATAATTGACAATCATGGCGGAGGACCAGGTAGATGGACTGGGGATGTCCCGGCCCAGGGACGCCAACTATGGGCTGGACGTGATGGATCTCCGCAAGATCATGGAGCACCACAAGCACGAAGGCTACGAGTATGTGCAGGAGAAATATGGCGGAGTGTTGGAGCTATGTAAACAACTATACACCTCACCCAATGAAGGTAAAAAAATTAATGAATGTCTATCATTACACAATTACCACGAGTCTCACTTGATGAAGTAGAACACTAAGCAAATCAGAAGACCCAAAAATCACAGTGTAGGGAGAATAACCTACACCTATTACCAAATCTATCCATAGTTTGAACTTTCATTAGGCAGTGACATGCTTATATTTACGTCACATCAAACTGTTCAGTGGTGCCCAGACTATATATATTTCAAACCGGAACAAGCAGAGGTATCACCGAGTTTAGTTGGTGTAAATGTTGTTTTCTTAGATCAAAGGGTTAAGCTTATGTCATCTCATTCTTTGTTAGGAACAGCTGATAGTACAAACTATTGGTAGAAATGTTCTAAGAATATAAGATATTTATCTACCTGCCAGGATGGACAAATAAGTTCTGTGGAGGTGTTTCAGCAACCAGTGGTGAACTTTCCTTAGTGTGTTGGTGACTTTGATACTTGTTGTGGAAAAAATACAGGACAGAAGCTCAAAATCGGAATTTTCTCAAAAGTGCTATGATATTTGGAAGCTCACCTTAGGACAGAAAGTTGTTTGAAAAAATATATGTAAATTGAAATGGTGGTTAAATTGATTGGATCCCTGAAGTCTTTTCCATGCTTTGATGACATTGATTGACCTTCAGCATGTTAAGACATATGGCATTTTGAATGAAAAGTGTTCAAAACTATGCACTTATCTGGCACTGCTCGGAGGGGTTTAGTATATATCAAGGATGGAGAAATAAAATATATGAATATTTTCTCACCAAACACTAAGTAAAACAAAATTGCTCAGGCACCTATTGAATGATAAACTTGCTGTCAGAAACATGATGGATTGGAATTCTGGAAGCAGGATGTTTTTCAATTTTTTGCATTGTCTTCAGCAAAATTAATATACAGAAAAGGGGTATCTATTGCCATAGGCTATTCATATCACAATTTTTTTCCATCTACAAATTCTTGAGCTAAAAATAAACCCATGAGAGAGAGAGAGAGGATTGGAAAAGAAAAAGAAAACATTTAAGGCACCATTGTAATAGCTTTAGTAAATCAATTTTACAAAATATTTTGTAGTTTAACACCACATCAATTTTTAAACAATAGCCTTAAACTGGCTCAAGTGAGTTTTTCATTCTTTTGTTTCCATTTGTTATGATCTTCATTGTATGTGTAAATTGTAAAAGTTCTGTGGTAAAAATCAATTAAAAATGAGTAAAGCATGTAATATGAAATTTGGCTTTCGATTTGGTGCAATTGAAATTGATTGCTTTCTTTCAGAAAAAAAAGATGCACGAGTTAAACATTTCATTAAATATTTGACATACGAAGAAATATCTTCCGATATAAAATATTGATCTTCTTTTTCATTATCCAATTTCTTTTATGGGAGTTTAGTCGTAAAGAATCTAGCTATTAAAATGATGCAACCAGGCAAAAAAACCTAACTATCAATTTGTCACTCTAATGATTCGATGTTCACACCGAGAAAAAAGGAGAAATGCTCTCCATCAAAATATAAAGCCCCAGTGGCTTGTGATGTATAGTGAGTTGAGGAGTTTTTCTGGGGATATGAGTGGTGATCTGGCCAGGAAATGTTTGGGGCTATTGTCCTAATGATTGCTCAAGGTTCGTTATTAGCCATCGACTCCTTGCAAACCCAATTGTTCCTGCTAAAGCTTGTCACAGTCGGTGCATTAATGAAACTTCCCTACAAGCTAAGCACACATTGATTATTTTTAATGAAAATTTTTTGGTTTGGATCAATGGGTTCTTTTTTTTTATCATTACTTAATATACTTTTAATATACACCCCTAGTTCATTTATTGGAAGGTGAGATGGGGAAAGGTTATGTAGAAGGGCAATTAAAATCAGGAGCAGCGGGAGATCCATACAGGTTGAAAAGAATGTCCGCTCATTTACTTCCCTAATTCAGCAGTCAGGAAAAGGCATACAAAAGTCCAGTGCTTTCAAATTTGATTGCATCTTCTGTATGTGGAAGAATCTGTCAATCTGTCAGGCCTATAATTAAAGTTCTTACCAGTGAGAATTAGTATGCTGGTCACAACCAGAGAACTTGTTAAGCTTACTAGAGAAAAAGTGGTGAAATTCTAATATGTATAACAGATTGATTACAACATGCTTAGAACAGCATTTTATGATTTGAGACAATGTCTTTGAGAAGCAAAAGATAAAAACTTTTGTATCTATATAATATATTGTTCCTGTTTTTTCAGTTTGATTTTGTACATTTTATATTTAAAAGAGCATGAATTTATAAACTCAAAGCAGTTTGTTGAATAAATGTTGTCAAATTTGTATTTAACAAATGAGTTAGTTTAAAATCAGTGGTCTTATTAGAAAGCAACTGAATGTTGCAAGAAAAGGAAAAGTTTAAAAAAGTTTTTTTCCAAAATGATTTTTTGGGGGGCTAAATTTTGAAATTTAAATATGTAATTTGTTTGTTTTTGCTTGTAGGTATTTCTGGATCACCAGTAGACCTTGAGGATCGGCGGAAGACTTTTGGGTCCAATGTGATTCCTCCCAAACCCCCCAAAACCTTCCTCCAACTGGTGTGGGAAGCCATTCAAGATGTCACCCTTATAGTTCTTATAGTAGCTGCTCTTATCTCTCTAGGATTATCATTTTACCCCAGATGTGAGTGCATAATCAAACTCTGTGATTGATTGATTGATTTATTGATTGATTGATTAATTGATTGAATCTTTGATTGATTGATTGTCTGGAGTTTTAGCCAGTTCAGAGGTATTTCAGCCATAATCACTAAAAAAATGAAAGGTTTGGTCCAGCAAGAAGTGAATTTTTAAAAATTTTCTTTTTCTTTTTTCTTTCAACAAGTTTGATTTATCTCAGGGTTCAGATATAATTTCATAACTTGAAACTAGTCCCAAAGAAATCTGTTGGTCCGACCTTCTCTTTGCTAGCCTTCTACAAAAAGTTATGTTTTCAATTAGGCCAAACAAAAAAAAATATGTGTGGTTCCAGTTACACCTCCCAAAAAATTAGAGTAGGTAGGTCTTTTTTTTTTTTAGCAAAATGATTTTCTTAATTTTTATGCCCCCAGATCGAAAGATCCCGGGGGTATATTGTTTTTGTCCTGTCTGTCTGTTTGTCTGTTTATCTGTTTGTCTGTTTGTCTGTCGTCAACTTTAACCTTGCCCATAACTTTTGATTGGTTGGAGCTATGACTTTCATATTTCACATGTGTATTCCCTGTGACAAGACCTTTCTTTGGGTACCATCATATTTGACCTTTTGACCTTGACCTTGGAGTTTGACCCACTTTTGCAAAATTTTATGAGACTTTAACCTTGGCCATAACTTCTGAACAGGTGGTGCTTGGGGTTTCAAACTTCACATGTGTATTCTTTGTGACAAGGCCTTCCTTTGGATACCAACAACTTTAACCTTTTGACCTTGGAGTTTGACCTACTTTTGAAAAACTTTAACCTTGGCCATAACTTTTGAACGGTTAGAGCTAGGGCTTTCATACTTCACATATGTAATCCTTGTGACAAGACCTTCCTTTGGATACCAACCACTTTGACCTTTTGACCTTGACCTAGGAGTTTGACCTACTTTTTAAAAACTTTAACCTTGGCTATAACTTTTGAACGGTTACACGGGCACTGGAAGTTAATGTAAATATTGAGTATGTGCATGTATAAAAAAAGGAAGGGTAGGACACTCTTTTTGAGGCAAATTCGGGTTTGGGGTATTTGGATAGTTTTTTAAACAGCCTGACGCGATAAATCCTCTCTATATACTTTACTTACAATATATATCTTGCTTCGTTCTGCTCCAATGCATTTTACTTGAAGAAATAAACGTTTTTACACCTCCAAGTGCCTAAGAATTTTGCTAGACTGCTCTACTTCTGGTTACAATCATAGGCGAATTTAAAGCTTAATTTTGATTGGACTTCATATATGTGAAAAATAATTCTTCAAATACAAAAATGCAATATGGAAAATTTGTCAATTGAGCCATCTCCTACTGGTTTTAGAAGTCGATAAATTTTCTTTGGACGATGTTTTACTTTTGATTTTAATTTTCTACAGTTTGATTGACCAATCAGAATTTAGCTTTAAATTTTTTACTTTTTTACTTTTTACTTACTTTTAAAAAACTTTAACCTTCGCCATAACTTTTGAACAGTTGCACCTAGGGCTTTCAAATTTAACATTTTTTATCTTTTGGCCTGGATTTTGACTTGCATTTGAGAAACTTTAACTTTCGCCATAAGCTGCCATACGGGGGCATCAATGTTTCACAAACACATCTTGTTCTAAATAATACCTATCACTCCTTTGCAAGTGGCATTTAGATGTGGTGTGATAATATACTAGTCAATATTGGTAGGTGACACCTACATGCTAGCTTGCTTTGGATTTAACACTATTAAACACTTGCACTATGTTTTGCAAGGAGGCCGTCATTGCTGAAACTAAAACTTAAACTGGAGCCATTGATAGAAATCTGGGAAAATTCCGGAAAAAATATGAAAATTGACGGAAAAAAGTTTAGGGTCGGGGGTATAAAATAGGGACGGTCTGGTAACCGGAACCACACATATTTTTTTTATTTGGCCTTATCTTGGATTATAGGCTATAAAGTAGACAAATTCATAATAGCTACTACACCTACTTATCTTTTCAATATGTCAGTGTGTTATTTATTGGTCTTGACTTTAAAGTCAACAGTTTTGTGTTGATAAATATCTGTATGATTATTTTTATATGTAACCAGTTATAGATTTAAGGTACAGTTTTAGTCCATGAAAAGCTACTGGAAAACTGAAATCCCTCATCACTAATCATAGTCTAAAACTAGTTACTGAAGTATGAGAAACGAAGTTATATATTCCATATTAAGTCCAATTACTGCTTCTTCTCTTGTACTTAAGTAGGGAAAGAGAATTGAATAACTAAACTAATATATTACTAAACAGACAACATTATAGCATTGAAGATGTATAGCATTTGTTTTTTCTGTTTATTGATTCTACATAACAATCTCGTCAAATAAACTGAACCTGCGGATACTACAGCAACTAGGACTTTATTAAGTCAGGGAGCAGAGGAAGTTTTTTCTATTAACACGCAACACAGAAAACACTGAACTCCAAGTCCAATAAGATTCCTATACTTTACGATTTACTGAAATTGATTTATCGACAGTTACTCATGTAGGATATATTGCTGTTAGAATTCTCAAATCTCGTATTATTTATTGCTCTCTAAGAAATATATATTTTAAGGTGTGATATATCTTATCTAAAACAAAAACTTCCTGATTTCCCATACAGATATATATACCTGTATTAAGCACCCACATGTCTGATAGGAGATCTTGTCACTTAATTTCCTTGATGGCATAAAATCTAAATATATAACATAGACATAGAGAGATTAAATTCCTCAACTTTTTTTTCCTGTCCATATGGTATGGGCCTTCCTATCCATTCATCTGTTACTTTGTTAGGCTGTAACTTTATTCCAACGTAGTTGCAGATGACAGGATCACAGCTTGTGACTATGAGTGTACATGAATAGATATGCATCTTGTACGTAATTCCAGATGGGCATATCATATAACCCTAACAATGCACTTCTCTGTGATATATAGTCATAAAATGTTGTTTTTTGTTACTTTACTTGGAAATGTGATTATTCAGCCCCATATTTACTGCGACTCATATTTCTGTATTGATACTAAATTGTATTAGGATTGTCGCAGATCTTACTGTAAAGTAGTATACTCTGAATTTTCCATAATAGGTCAATTAATGCATGTTTGACAGTACATATTTAGAAAGATTAGATGATTTAATTTCAAATCTCCTACCATTAAGAGATTCAGAATTGGCTTGAATCTTGTTCTAGGTAACTGGTTTGCCAAAAAAAAAAGACTACAATGCATTAGAAATATTTGTTATTTGCTAGTAAATCTTGAAAACATCCATATATATGTGTGTTTATTTATTAATTGAAGTTCAGTTCTTAGGTATTCTGAGGACTTAATCAAATGACATATGAGCAAAGCTCCATACGTAAATCTTATTTTAATCCCTATTTTTTAGCGGAGCAGGAAGGTGGTGATTCCTCGGAATCAGAGGCCGGTTGGATCGAGGGTGTGGCCATTCTAGGAGCTGTTGTAGTGGTGGTCTTAGTGACAGCTTTTAACGATTATCAAAAAGAAAAACAATTCCGTGGACTACAGAGTAAAATAGAGCACGAACATCAATTTTCTGTCATCCGAGGGGGACAGGACAAAAATATTCCAGTAGGAGAAATAGTTGTGGGAGATATAGCTCAAGTTAAATATGGTAAGTTATCATGGGAATGGATGGATTTCTTCCAAGTACTTTTTATACATGATTTTAAAGAAAGTAGGCAATGTTTTGTATTGCATTCAGAAGATTTTATGTTCCGACGTAGACATATTATTTTAGGGCAACTAATTCCATGTTGATTATTGTAGTGCTTATACAGAAAACATCAGGTTTAGTTAATGTACAGATTGAAATATAAAGTTGTTTGTCCTATTCATAGATTGGCATTTTTGACCTCCTAACTCAAGAGGAGTGGGAAAAAAATGAAAGAAATTAAGATTAAGAAATCTTTCAGGATTTTTTGTGGAGTTGTTGGAGATTCTTAACTCTCAGAAACAAGTTTTTGGGTGGCGCATCATTAAATGATAATTTGTTTTGTTGAAGTTAATGGACTGGGATCATAATATTTCATCTCATGTGCCCTCATATTTTGTCTGAAGATTAAATTTGAATCAATTTGAAGAAACACTTCTTTATGGTGCATACTTAGTCTAGTGGATTTTCCATGAACCTGAATTTTCAAAAAAAAAAAAAAATAAATAAATAAAATATGGATGTCAATACCAATAGGTTTAGAACTGCACAGGTTAACCAAAGGAATGAGCTGAGACTAATTATTGCTGCACTCAATGCAGTGAAGAATTGTTGTGTCAGAATTAGATGAAATGAAGAGGAAGGTGTTAAACCAGACTTAGTTTTGAGATGCGGGCAATTTTTTACGAAAAGGAGTTAAGAGATGAAGAAATGTTTTTAACTCGAGTATTTTTTTTTTATTTGTTTAAAGTTGCAGAAAAACTGATCAATTCAAAATGGTTTAAAAATAATCATAGTCAAACATAATCTTGAACTATAGAAGTGCAATTTATGAAACAAGATTTTTGAATTTATGCATATATATGCAGAATCACATTGGCTCATACTTATTCATTGGCTTTAATGGAAGTTCTGTTATGCAGACATATTCAGGACATGCTTGTGTCCTAATTTCAGAGGATAATGAGATGGAATTATGATTTTATCAAAATTGGTAATATTCAGAGTGTTGCTGTCATATCAAGAAAGCTCTGCAAGCTTTCCAAGGCAGTGCTCTTCATTCTGAAGTAATGGAACGCATTTAAATCATTGACTGCCAATATAAACAAAGGCATTAGTCGGAAGTTCGTTCTAGGTATAACATGGGGCATTACTAACAGGCTGAATTGGAATTTATCGAAATCCCGCTCAATCAGGATTTGATTTTCCGTCCCATGGGATTAACTCTTGAAAACTTCAACAGACTAATAAATAGAAAAGATGGCTTCTGTCACTTTTATGTAGGGTTTATCTACCAAAGAAGAAGGCTGAGAATTGATTTTAATGAATCTGCCTTGTTTTACATACTTATTATATGAGTCGAGTGATTCTTAAAGAAAGCCTCTTTTTATTGTCATTGCAGATCTCTGTGTGGGGATGTGTAGCAGTATATATCGATATTAAGGCAGCTTATTTGATAAGATTCGAATCTGAGAATGTTGTATTTCTGACTTGTAGGTATTACATGTTTTACTGAACACTCGGATTAAATGCTGATGATCACACAATAGCAAAAGATAAGGACAATCAGAAAAAAAATATGTTTTTAAAGACAGATTATAGTATAAAGTCTGGACCTTATTACTAGATACATGGCCACTAAGAAAAAGACCCCATGTTGTCATTTTTTATAATGCATTGTATATGTATGCAATGGAAATATATATATATATATATATATATATATATATATAGAAAGCACAAAGAAATTCACTTTTATAAGGATACGCACTTCCGCCCCAGCCTGGGGTTGAACTCTCGACATACGGAATCTGTCTCCTAGCAGTACAGGAACAGCGCGCTAGACCGCTCGGCTATCTAGGCAAGTCAAAAAACTTGCTTTCGATGCCGATGGAATTCTCGCGGCGCTGCTCTACACTACTTGGTCATTGAGAATGGAAGTGAGATACAGTTATTTGGACATTAGTTTTATTAGAGGATCGTTACCAATACACGTTGTAATGAAATTAATTTTTATTTATAAAGCACATTTTACAACATATATATATATATATATATGAAAGATAAGCCTTAAAATTTGCAAAACATTTAACCCCCTTTCATGGAGTTTAGAAATGATGCTGAGTAATTAAAAGATTTCCCAGCAGTGATTTTCATTGTCAAAATGAAATTCCTTCTTTTATCCATTCTAAACAGAAATGAATGGTTTTCCAGAGGTGACATATTATGAAAACCTGAAATTTATTTTACACCAAAATGCATCCTAGAAACTGACAAGATGCTTGGAAAATGGATGCATTATGTTGTGTGAGAAAATCCATATTTGTAATGCCATTTATTTGTCAGTAAGCGAAGCCCTTCCAAGTCCCATGTGATGTGTCTAGAAATTGCCTTATTTTATTACAAAAGTTGCAAAATGACGGGTTTTAATTCTGAACGTGGGCAGACATCGGCCTTTTTTGAATGTTCATTGTAGTCTTTATTGTTAATACCATTGTTGTGTTACAATCTCATTTGATATTTTTTCATTACTACTGTTATGTTATTTTTTTTTTGTTTCTGTCTCTTCAGGTGATTTGTTACCAGCTGATGGATTATTAATTCAGAGTAACGATTTGAAGGTCGATGAGAGTTCATTAACGGGAGAGTCCGACCATGTAAAGAAAGGGGTTAAAACGGACCCCATGATGTTCTCAGGTGAATTTAATCAAAAGAGAATTGTGAATAACATCAAAGATGAAATGTTAAATGTTATATCTGTTGAAAAACAGAGTCATTAACTAAAAATTTATAGGTTGAAAATATCAGTATCTGTTAGAAGTTCATCGATTCTGTGGAACATTTTTTCTAGCTCTCATTATTAAGACAAACGCTCAAGCTTTTCTGATCAAAGTTTGTCGTCTGTCCTTATGTTAACTTTTTACATTTTTGACTTTTTCTCCAGAGCCACTAGACCAATTTTAACCAAATTAGCACAAAGCATCCTTAAGTAAAGGAGATTCAAGTTTGTTCAAATGAAGTGCAGTGCCCTGTTGAAAGGGGAGATAATCAAGAAAGTGCTAAAATAGGGTGCATGTCTTTAAAAATCTTATTCTCAAAGAACTATCAAGCCAGAAAGTGAAAGCTTAGTGACATAGTGTAGATTCAAAACATGTCCCCTAAGGACCAAGGGGACTCAGGTGAGCATTGTGACCCATGGGCCTCTTGTCAATTGTATTGTTCATATGGCTATGTATAACATGTATTACATATGGCTGGTTAATTTAAATTACTCCACAAGAAAAATGATCAAATAAAAATCTGCATATGTATATATACGAACTTCACACACAACACACACAGACATAAACAGGATCTAGGGGAAATAAAACTGAGGAATGTTTCTGAACTATTCATTAAATCAATAAAATATTGAATATTATTTTTACTGTGTAATTCAATAAATTTGATGGTTTGCTTGCTATCACGTGCAAAATTATATTTTACAATATTGACTTGAGTTACTAAAAATAACTTAGGGAAAATCCAAGAATGTTTTATAATGGTGAAAAGTCCTTTAAAACTTACAAATTCCTACGTAATGAATTTGTTTGTCTCTTTCTTTTCAAAAGAAAATAATATAACAAATGTTTCCCTTTGATTCGGTCAATCCATAGGTATATCGACTTCACAGAAAAGCATATTGACTTCGCACTTCGTGCTCATCGATATGCTTATCTGTGAAGTCGATATACCTGTAGATGGACCGACCTCATAAAAGGGCTATATTTGTATAATAATAGTAATCTCAGAATAAAAATTGGCAATATATATATTCTGTAGACATACTTTTCCTGTGTGGGTCCTGGGAGTAATTTACGCTATGTACATGGTCACAAATTTTCTGCGCAAATTTGTTAAAGTGTACTTAAAAGTACATTTATGACATATAAAGGCAGTCCAAGAAATTCTTGTAATTTTCTATCAGTGGATTGAACAGAAATAGTGATTCTGCGGAACTATGACCCCTGGAAAAAAAAGTATGTCCACAGTATATAAATCCATTGTTCAAAATGTTCAAGTCAAGAAAAGATTTTTATGTCATTGATGTTAGCAGCGACAAAAAAATATTGCAATATACATCACATACATATGTGAAAATTCTATTTTCTATTTTTGGCACAGGAGGTTCTTTATATATTGAATAAGAAAGTAAAAACCAAAAACTACATTAAAGCCTCTGATGTTGAAGTTATCACATGTTCCAGTTTAAATTTTGTGTATTTCACATACCCCCCCCCCCCCTCCAGATTTGTTTTTTCTTGTATTTAATTTACTTGTAATATACACAATATACAACAGTAATATACATGTACATATATAACACCTATAAACATATATAAATTCTTGTATATATGTGTGTTTTTGCCTTAATTTGACTAAAAAGCCATAAATTATAATGATTAGTTTTTCAAATACATGTATGTAAGTAGCAACAGTGTGTATAGTATGACCTTAAAGTGGTTCTTTGTGACACTGAAAGAGTAAGATCATTAAACTGTTGAGATTAAAAACCTCTATGGCAAACTTTGTCACAAAAATATATTCATACAGTTAAACCTTCTTGAACTAGATGGGATGAAGGGAAAAAAAACAATATCCAAGTGTTAAATGTATTAATATGATTAAGGTTAACCACTATTAAGTAGTTAAAATACTTGATGAAAAAGATGCTGGGACATTGAGATATTGGTGTTTGAGATACCAAAGTTTAACTGTATAGGAAAACAAAGATATTAATGCTCTCTGGAAGTTTTAATTGAAACATTGTTGGAGACATGTTTATGCACATTGTCCTCAATGTTAAAGGTACTCATGTGATGGAAGGAAGTGGAAAGATGTTGGTGACAGCGGTTGGCGTCAACTCACAGACAGGAATCATTTTTGCCCTTCTTGGTGCCTCAAGTGAAGAAGGAGAGAAGGACAAAAAGAAGGAGAAAAAAGACAAAAACAGGTTAAAAGGCGAGGAAGGAAACGGAGGTATGTACCTCATCAATGCATTTTTTGAAACACATGGGTTTGCATTTTATAATGAATATTGTTCCGTGTGGAATCATTTATACTGTATACAGGGTTATTTTCGCCCCATCTTATTTTTGCCCTTTCACACCTGCAAACACTTTTGCCCCGTTTTGAATTTGCCCAGATTTTAAATTCACCCTATTGTGACGAGGGTGAAGGGGGCAAAAATAAAACGGGTGCGAAAATTTCCCTGTATACAGTATTCATTTATTTTGCAAGATTTCCTTCCATGCTATTCACCTATATTTATAGTGGTAGCATTATGAACCTCCAGTAGTTTTTGTGTGTATGTGATTTCTTGTGTTTGTCTGAAAGTAACTGTCAATGTTAGTGTCTAATTTGTTTGTATACATGTGCATTTCCAAGTTTGCTTTAAGGGTGTTCAACTAGCATTTAAGGTGGCTGACCTCATGTGTTTTTATAAAATTATTAACATATATTAGGTAGTAGGAATGTGTATATTTTGTAATTTGTCACATTTTCTTTGGCAACACCAATATAAATCATATATACGTCTTGTTATTCTTGGTTATTTTCATTTCATTATTGACAAAATCTTAAAAGTTGGAGGAAGACATGTACAATCCCTCATATTAAGACAGTATGATAGAATTATTTTTATGCAGAAATTGAATTTCTTATCAAATGATTTTGTAGATTGAGTGAAATGACATTGCAATTTTTTTTCTTTCAAGTTAATAAATATAATAAGAAAAAACAAATTGGAACACAGGGAAGTGTAGATACTACTGTTGGTACATGCTTGTCAGTTTAGATAAAAATGAATGAGTGTTTCAGCAGAACAACAAACATGAACTGCTCAGAAACCTAATGTTATGTCAAAATGATGTCATGTCACCTTAAATTCTAGGAAATATGTGATTAGAAGTTTATAGGGAATGAAACAAATACAGAAAGAGAAAGATTGCAACTCTTTTGCACCGTGTTTTTATATATTCAAGCATGAACCATGTGTATTTTGTGCCTCGTGTATTGTTTTTTAATGTGCTTGGTCAAACACAACTTGATGCATCTGGCATGAGAGATGATATTTCTCAAGTTTGATGTGCAGGATGTTGGTAGATGTCATATAGAAAGTACAGTAGTTTTACTTACATTGTGCATGATTTGCATTTTAGAATTCTAACATTTTTGCTGGATTGAAAAAATAACATATCGCTATGTAGATTGAAAATATATTTAGTGTGTGCGTCATATTGTAAACTAGTTTTAGACAGGAAATACATGTAGGTTTTATCAAATGTTTAAAAAAAAAAAAACTTTTCAAAGTAGATACCCCCTTAGGCTCTAGGCACTCACCATTTTTATCACACAAATAGTTTCAACTTGCTGCCCAATTGTGAAAGTAATGAAAAAGCAGCAGAAATGTTTGAAACACATTTTTGTTTTCTTCAAATTTTTTATTTCTCTTTATAATTAGAGTCTTAGTTTTAAAGTATATTGTATCTTGAGAGTTTCTAAACATGAAGTGGGTGCATTTATATCTTTTTGGAAAAGATTTCTAAATTCATTGTTCATTGAGGATCACAACTGTAAAACATGTTTAAAGCTGATACAATTATTATGAATAACTTCTTACCCTGGAAATCAAAACTTTACATTGATTTATGTGAAATAGTCAAATTAGAATTTTGTTTGTTTTCATTTGCAAAGAAATTTTATTCTTGCTACCCAGAGAATTTTTTTTATGTCTGCAAGTAAAGGAAGAAATACAACTTTTGTTTGAAAATTACTTGGATGTAGAAATAAAAAAAAATTATCATGCCTGAATAGCCATCTATATCAAAATGGTGAGTAGCAATTGGAAACAAACAGAATTTAAACTATATGGCTTCAGTTGGATGAATCAAATTGGGATTAGATGAGGAAGCCATTTAGGCTATAAATGGAGGTGAGCCAAAGTCCTGTTTTACTGTGAATTATTTGTTTTATTCTAAAAGCAGTGGCAGCTGTATCTTATAGAGGTAAAGTAGCTCCAACCAAGCACCCTCCCAAATTTTTCTTGATTTTTGGTCTCTCTTTCTCTCTCTACAGCCTGCACATTGTCTGCTGCTCTTCAGGTGTTGTGTTGTTTAGTAACCATAGTAACAATGTCACATGACCTTATTCATTAAAAAAGTATTTTTAAATTGAAAAAAAAGGGAGCAGTTTCTTTTAAGAGCTTTTAACAAAAAATGGTTAAGGTCATGTATCTGTAGTGCTTTTGGTTGAAAAGGAAAACAGCATTCTGTTTTTAGTTTTAACAATGAATCTTGCAAACTGAATAATTTTTCCTTTGTTGAAATGACATGGAAAAGAGAAATACATGCAGTCACATGGTTAGACTAGGCAAAAATGTATTCAAATCATCCCTGCTTTATTTCTAGCATTTTTGCAATATTCTAGACAGTTAAGTCTTACCATGTGATTTGATTGTTCCAAAGTTTTTGTACTTTTTAACTCCTTTAATGACCACCCATGTATATTTAATACTAGTATGTGGTACAGACATGGTCCTTCCAAGTGTCCTTTCCATTGAAAGCAAACTAATCCCAGACCAACTATTGATTGTTGTAACATTTAGCTGGGACAAGGGTATAATATTATCTGAGAGCTTAACCCACCCCAACCCACTCTACCCACTACCGTTGCAATTTTTTTTTTTCGTATTCAATCCATGGCTGACTTTGTTGCAGTGTTTTTAGCTCACCTGAGCTGAAAGCTCAAGTGAGCTTTTCTGATCACATTTTGTCCGGCGTCCGTCTGTCTGTCCGTCTGTCTGTCTGTCCGTCCGTCTGTCTGTCTGTCTGTCTGTAAACTTTTCACATTTTCGACTTCTTCTCAAGAACCACTGGGCCAATTTCAACCAAATTTGCCACAAAGTATCCTTGGGTAAAGGGGATTCAAGTTTTCAAATGAAGGGCCACGCCCTCTTTCAAGGGGAGATAATTAGGAATTAGTGAAAAAATAATGGCAACATTTAAAAATCTTCTTCTCAAGAACCATAGGTCCAGGAAAGATGAAACTCATGTGGAAGCATCCTTAAGTAGTGTACATTCAAGTTTGTTCAAATCATGACCCCCGGGGGTAGGGCGGGGCCACAATGGAGGATCAAAGTTTTACATAGAAATATATAGGAAAAATCTTTAAAGCAATATGAGCTGCATTTTTGAGAATTTTATTTTGCTGTTAAAATGTGTTATTGTGATAAATTTGTATGTAATTTAAACTTTTTTGATCAATTAAACAAAAATAAAGTATCAAATTGTTTCAGAATAAAGGATTCTGTACAATCAAATATATAGTATTTTATAAGAAATTAATATTGTACAGGACGACAATAATGTAATTTTGCTTCAATCAAAGCTTATAAATAGTTCTTCTATCGCCAATATGAACAACAGAAGTTTATATACGTTCTTTTTTGTGTCATTGAAACAGTTAATTACAATTTTGCAACAAAAATTTCTGACATCAAAGTTGCAGCTCATATTGCTTTAAAAAATCTTCTTCTCAAGAACAGCAAAGCCATGATGAGTCATATTTATATGGAAGCATCCTCAGGTAGTGTAGATTCAAGTTTGTTCAAACCATGACCCCCGGGGGTAGGGCGGGGCCACAATGTAGGATCAAAGTTTTACATAGAAATATATAGGAAAAATCTTTAAAAATCTTCTTCTTAAGAACAGCAAAGTCATGATGAGTCATATTTATATGGGAGCATCCTCAGGTAGTGTAGATTCAAGTTTGTTCAAACCATGACCCCCGGGGGTAGGGCGGGGCCACAATGGAGGATCAAAGTTTTACATAGAAATATATAGGAAAAATCTTTAAAAATCTTCTTTTCAAGAACAGCAAAGTCATGATGAGTCATATTTATATGGAAGCATCTTCGGGTAGTGTAGATTCAAGTTTGTTAAAATCATGACCCCAGGGGGTAGGGCGGGGCCACAATGGAGGATCAAAGTTTTATATAGAAATAATATATAGGAAAAATCTTTAAAAATCTTCTTCTCAAGAACAGCAAAGCCATGATGAGTCATATTTATAAGGAAGTGTCCTCAGGTAGTGTAGATTCAAGTTTGTTCAAATCATGATAACCGGGGGTAGGGCAGGGCTGCAATGGACTATCAAAGTTGTACATAGAAATATATAGGAAAAATCTTCTTCTCAGGAACAGCAAAGCCCAGATTGTTCATATTTATATGGAAACATCCACAGGTAGTGTAGATTCAAATTTATTCAAATCATGACCCGCGGGGGTAGGGCGGGGCCACAATGGAGGATCAAAGTTTTACATAGAAATGTATAGGAAAAATTTTAAAAATCTTCTTCTCAGGAATAGCAAAGCCCTGATTGATCATATTTATATGGAAGCATCCTCAGGTAGTGTAGATTCTATTTTGTTCAAGTCATGACCCCCTTGGGTAGGATGGGGCCACAATGGAGGATCAAAGTCTTAAGTAGAAATATATAGGGAAATATCTTCTTCTTCTTTTCAATACTGAACTGATTTGTGCTTTTGCCTAGCCAATGTGCTCAGGTGAGCGATTTGGCCCATGGGCCTCTTGTTCACAAGTTGTTTCCCATCTAAGTTAGGATTAAAGCTTTTTCCTTCAATTTGAATGAATCATTGTCCTTTATTTCATAATGATCTAGTTTCATCATATACGAAGTCTTTGACAAGAAAAACACCATTCTCATTCTGTACAATTTTTCAGTAGGTTTCACGTTTTGGCATATACCTCTCAATGTGAGTGTCATATTCTGATTGATGAATGCTGCACAAATATTTTCAAAATCCACATCTTCCATTTATAATTTGTGCTTTTCCCAATCTTACCCATGTTATATTTATTACTCCCTTTATGAGTTTTCATAGTAAAAAAATAAGTTGGAATAGATATATGGATATATTGGGGGGGGGGGGTAAATCTTTATGTCCCCTTTAACAGATGGTATTTTAGCCATTTGGAAGGAGGGTTGAAGGGATTTTGGAGGGAGCACTGTCTGTGCCCATTTTGGTTATGAAATGTTAAATAATTCAATGCTTCCTGCCTTGGCTTGCAGGCACACGTACGAATACGGCCGGCCAGAACACTCCATGTAAGTCTACATCATTTATCATTACGCTTCATTCCTCATACATTACATTGCAATATTTATTATTGGATTGCTGCAGTTCAGTTTTGGGTTTGAGTTTCTATGGGTTTTTTTTTAACTTGTTTTTTGTCATGGTGATTTTATGCACTATAAATGTCAAGATGATAGGGTATATGTTGTGAGTATTTAAACTTAAGTAAGCTTTTTATATTGCTGATAATCTATAAATCATTTTTGAAAGTAAATGGGGTCAAAGAACAAATTTCATATAAAATTTTAAATTGGGGGGAAGAGGTGGAAATTTGAAATCTAAGTTAGGAAGTTAAAAAGAAAAGAAACTTAATAGGTTAAATCCATGCAAAAACTGTTTTATATGGAAATTTCACCTTTCACTGTTGTAAAGTGTAAGTATCAGACGACACCTCAAAACCACTATCAAGAAGAGTCACAAAATGTTTTATGACTTTGTCTTCACATGCTCAGTAAACTTGTGCTTAAATGCCTAGGAAACACAGGCCAGGGTTGAATAGGTTAATTTCAAAGAATGATTTTATTTCAATCGAATTTGTCAAGTAGCCATTATCATACAGGAAATTCATGTATCCAAAGGATCAGTGCTTTTCATGTATTTATATTTACCACTAAATCGCACATAATTTTAAGCATTTTGGCTTGTATGTATTTGGTATTTAGTCCAGTTAATTTGCTTTAAATTAAAAAAAAAAAAAAGCTTAAATTTTCAGTGTTTGGATTGTGTGTGTGTGTATATCTTTAACTGTGTTAAATTTTAATAATCTACCGGTATATAATTTGCCTACTATTAAAAAAAATTATGTGTGTTAAATTTTAATTTTTTGCCTAATTAAAATATCTAAACATTTTAATTAAAGTTAAATAAAACTTATTTTAATCAAAGCTTATTTGATTTCATATATTTTTATCTATAACAGCATTGATTTTATTATATAATTGTGTGAATCTTGTAGCATACAGAAATTATGAAAATGGCAAGTCTCAACCACTAACAGGCTTATAATAATAAAAAAAAATGAACAAAGATTAATGTTTAAGTCTGAGTCCTGCCCAATCACTAACAGGAAAAAAAACACATGCAGGCATGGCTTAATCTGTGCCTAAGCTTTTCTGTTTTGAGAAAGTTTAGAAGTCTTTTAAGCCATCACTGTGAGGAGGCTTGCAGGTCAGCACTGCGTTTTGCATTACAGAAAACTTTCAAGCTTTCACTTGAAGAAGAGTCACACCAGAAAGTTATTTTATTTAATCCTACAATGTGAGGAGAGCTTTTTTCTGATATGTTGAAAAAAGGGCAGTATTTAAAAAGACACTAGTGTCTGCAGCACTAAAGGAGTAAGCATATAATTAGCAAGCATAATTAGTCTTTTAGCAAGCAAAGTTGGGACTGGCAGCATAGACAGCATTTAAAGCATACACATGCATATTCGGCAGAGTTTAGACATACTGGTTTTGTAAGAGTTCAGATAAGTACATATGAGCACTAGCTAATATAATAATTTTCAGAAACTCATGTTAACTTCAGAAAGCAACTTGAGCATTGTCTCTGCAGCATAATACACTAAGTATATATAGGATAAGATCAATTCACTGGAATTTGTTTAGCAAACAAACCAGCTGTAAAGATCTTTGAATTCTTGTTTCACTATAACAGAGACAGGTGTCTGTAATGTAGGAATTATTTTATTTGAAATAAAGTGTTTGCAATATGTTGAGGACCAAGAATAACAAAGAGTATATTTAGAAAGGAAGAGGGATTAGATTACCGCCTAAGGTAACTTCTGCATTTGTTTGACAGCTTGGTTATTCATAAGCAAATGAATGACGTAATTTGGAAAGAAGAGGGAATTTGATACTTATATCCAAATTTATTCTTTTATATAATGCGCAAAAGAATTTTAAAAAAATCAATAGCACAGAAAAGATCAATTACCTTTCATAATTTAATAAGTAAGGATAAAAAAACTTAACATTTGAACTAAAGACCTTGAAGCCTCCTTGAAATGTCTCTTAATTTAGATTTAAATATTTTCTTTCTGATTGGGCATGGACTTGTTGCTATATAAAAAAAACTTCAGTTGTAAGATGAAGTGGAAAAGATACTTTTAATATTTAACAATTATATTTAATTAATTAACATAATTAATTACTAAGTAAGCTTAAAGTACTGTGTTCTTCCAAACAGTCTTTGCAGATAATATACAGCTAGGACTTAAATTCTGTGAAAAGTCCATAAAAATGAATTCAAGAAAGCTTCATCTATCTTCTCAACAAGCTTTCTGTCTGGAAGAACATTTATTGAACAATAATTTATATGGTTTTTACAGATATTGCTTTCATATAAAGACAACATTCAGTACTTTACTCAAGACTGTATTTATCAAAAGTATCAGTTGCAGGTGCTTTAGGGTTGTTTTATAAGTTCATCCATATTGTTATTTAGTATTAAGTCCTCACTCAATACTGACCTGAAAGGTATAAAGAGTAACGTATATGTATATAATCACATCATTGAATATACTGCATGGAAATATACATTCCATTGTAGCCTGAAAGATGTTCATATTAAGCATATATACACGCAGCATGTTTCTGGAGAGGCAGGAATGTTGTGCTAATTTGGTGCAAATTGCGCATTGATGGTGCATGTTGATGCATCTGCATCGCCATGAAAACTTTGCGTTGAAATTAGACTGCATGTCAGTAATTATGTTCATGAAAATTTAGAGAAAAGAAATATGTTTCAAAAAAGATTTTTCTAAATTTGTGTAAATCAGGAAATATTTGCTTCATTGGCATGAAGATAGCAATTTTTTTGTTGGTTTAATTCCCTCCTAAGGAATTATTTTCAAAGAATTGTCAACAACATTTTTTTTTTATCAAGTGATTTATGATTTTCATAAAATGCACTGCTTCAGGTAATATGTGGGCTATAAACATAGCTCCTGCCCAACTTCCTAGGGTATTTATATTGGGTGGTAGGTCTTTAACAGTTTGTGTATCTAATAAGCACAATACACTGCACTAAAGAGTGAAAATAGTTGTAATTTATCTAGCACCTGCAGGTTAAGTTATAAATGTGTTCAAATTTTCTTGTCTTGTTAACATTTCGCTTAAAACTTACTGTAACATGATTATATATACATTTTATTTAACAGTATCTTTTATTGAGATATTGCCAAGTGGAGGTACAATTCTTTGAGAAAAAAGCCTTGCCATATTTTATATCTTGTAAAATTATATATATTTATGTATTTATATATATGTATGTCATTGATTTGATAACATATTCATTTCTGTTATTCTTCTTTTTCTTTACTTAGTGCTTTCTAGTGATGCTGAAACGAAAGTGGGTATGTGAATGTTACTTTTTTTCTTGGTTTTTCTTTAATACTTGTCTATGAGGCAGAGGTCGGTGGTCAAAAAAAAAAAATAATTGTCTGGAGTTGACATCAATGTGAGTTTAATTTAAGAAAAAAAGTCAGTTGGAAATGAGATGCATGTAGCTTGAAAATTTTTAGAATTTAAGTGACTAAATAAATTTCTTTTCATTCCCAATTTGAAAAAAAAAATATTGGAGAACAAAGAAATTGAAAAGAGAGTTTGTGAGGGTAAAAGGGAGACTTTAGGATTTATGAGTTTTGACATACCGGTAATTATGATTTAGCCTGAGCAGTGCAGGTAATTACTAATTTGAAAGAAAATACACCACTTTGCAATCATGGACACAGTGTTAAACTATTGCTTGCTTAATGTCAATTATATAAACATTGTATCTTCAAATCATCACATCATAAGAAAAATCATTTGAAAATTATCAAAAAGGAAAAGAAAAATTATGTTTCACAGATCATATTTTGTGAAAGCTGTGTATTATTTGTAGATATTGATTCGATTAATCCTGTTATTACGGGTAACAACTCCCACAATAATGCAACAAATGCAAACAGTAAGACAGGCAATCAGGGAGATGAGGAGGGGAAAGACCAGAAAGCCAAAATCGAGACCGCCCGCAAAGAAAAGTCCGTCTTACAGGGGAAATTGACCAAGCTCGCCATTCAGATTGGATATGGAGGTACACACGATTTCAATGCAACATGATTTTGAAAATTCAGTTTTTTCCTACATGTATGTAGAAAATAATTAAAATATTCATTTGAATTAATTGGTTTAAATTTTTTTTAAGGGTTTAACCCTAGTAGCGCTATATAAAATACACAGTGTTAGTGCTCTGAGCTGAATATTTTTGCCTGCGTTGGGGTGCATTTGTTTAAGCAATTTAATTCAGATTTTATTGAAAAAACATAGACATATTATACATCAAAATCTTCAGCAGAGATAGGACTTCAATATTTTGATAGCCAGTTTTCATTCTTTGGATAAATAAATAGGTAATTTACAGGTAAAGCGAATATATTATAAATAACACAACTTTTTCTTCATGCAACTAAACTTTTATTCATATTTATTCACTAAGATGCTTACTGACGGTAATACAGATAATTTTTAATACAGGGACATAGTTTGGTACAACTTTTCAATGTTTGTGTAGTCACATCGTAAGAAATACCTTCGTCAAAAGTTGGAGTCCGCCATTGTTGATTTTACCTTGATGTGGAATCTCAACATTTGCTGTATTTCTCTCTTAATCTGGCTTCTTTAAACTATTGTTTTCATTAGTCATGATATGATTGTCTTTATTTCTGTTGAGTTTATATGAAATAAAATACTTAGGATCGTTTTTTAACTCGGACATATCGAAGTCTAAACCCGTGAATCCAACCTTGGCATGGGCCGATCGCCGTCTAGCAAATTTCACATTTAAAACATGTTTAGCATAATCTTCCTCTTAGAAAATGTCGAAAACATCTTGTAGTAAATATCTATCAAGTTTTTAACCGCGATTTTAGTCTCTAAACAAGTTTACTAGCACATTGAAAAATGTTTTCTTGAATACGCCGCCATTTTGAATCACGCGGAATAAACATGACCTTTTCACCTGTCTAAATTTACACAACCAATCACATTTCATCTAAGTAATGGATTTTTTTATTCATTCAAACCTATTACCAAATAAGGAAAGTGCTTTTATTAGACAAAATTTCCATTGGCCGCCTAAAATAGCGGTTTAAAAATATCGTTGCTGTCACCCGGAATATTCCGGGGTCAGCTCACAGCACATGGCTTTGTTTACCGGAATATTCCGGGTTCAGCACTACTAGGGTTAAGATGTCAAACAAATTGAATTATCACTTAAAAGTCCTCTCTTTTTTGGTATTTTAATACTTTAAAGCAATGTTAAAAGTTTTGTTTCTGTGGATTTTAGGAACGGCAGTAGCTGTATTGGTGGTGCTGATTCTGATTGTGAAGTTCTGTGTGATAGAGTTTGGAATTGAAGGCAAGAGTTGGGGGGCTGATGATACCGCTATCTATATAGAGACATTCGTCTTCTACTTCATCATAGGAGTGACTGTGCTAGTGGTAGCTGTCCCAGAGGGCCTGCCGCTGGCCGTCACCTTGGCTCTCGCCTACTCTGTCAGGGTAAGTCAAGTTATGTGTCTCAGACATTGATACGTTCAATGCAAGAGGTTTGTGTATGTGAGTATGAGGTCGGGAAAGAATTTTTATCTTTCTATTACCCTAAAGCATCAGATACTGTAGATGTAGTTTTTTTCCGCATGGGATTAATTTACGCTATGTACACAGTCATAAATTTTCTTTGGAAATTTTTCACAGCATACTTAAAAGTGCATTTAAGACATAAAATGGCAATTAAAGAAATCAGCATTATTTTTAATGGTGGATTGAAGAGAAATTGGGATCCCACAGAATTATAACCCTGCTAAAAAAAAAAAAATACATTTACAGTATCTGAAAGGTTTTTTGATGATCCCATCATGTTCAGATATCAAAATTTGACTGTGCTAGAGACACTTTTTTTTAAAATAGAAAACTCATCTTTCAGTCCAAAAAAAAAAAAAACCATGGTTGGGGTGGAGGAGATGGGTTTCATGAAATTTGATGAAATGTATTTTTTCGATCGCAGAAAATGATGGACGACAACAACTTGGTGCGACATTTAGACGCTTGTGAGACAATGGGTAATGCCACTGCCATCTGCTCGGACAAGACAGGAACTCTGACCACAAACAGAATGACTGTTGTCCAGTCTTACATTGGAGGTAAAGAAAAATTAATGCATGTTTCATCTCGTGTTGATTCAAGATTTTTCTGATGAGATGAAAGTAAAGTGAAATTTAAACTCATGAGAAAGTCTAAAGTAGAATTATTTTGATCACAGTTATTGGAGTGATTATATATGTGTGTGTCTTTAGAGGAGTATTGTTATTAATGTTTCAAATGCCATTGTAGGAGCCCACTATAAGAGTACCCCCAACTTCAGTGCCCTGGCCCCAACTCTACAGGATCTTATTGTTAGGAGTATAGCTATTAACAGTGGTTACACCTCAAGGGTCATTGTAAGTACAAACTTGATTAAATATTGAAATTCCTTTTATTTTGAAGGATGTATAGTTTTGCAGGATTCAAATTTCAATGTTCTTGATTCAAGGTTTTGTGCAACCTGTGATTATAAGTAAAGATCTTTAATTTGTATTGGTGAACCTTATTCTGCAATTTAAAGAAAGTTTAAAAAAAGAAAAGAATCTATGTTTTCTTTATATGTGAACATGTTTTAATTGAAATATGCAGTTTCTAATGAAGTAATATTGTGAAGGATTATATGTTGAGTTCTAATACTTTGTTCTAGCCTGACAAAGATGGAGGACTCCCACAACAGCTTGGTAACAAGACAGAGTGTGCCCTGCTGGGATTTATCCTTGACCTTGGTCAGCAATACTATCCAATCAGAGATGAGGTTCCAGAAGAAGCCCTCTTTAAAGTCTACACATTCAACTCTGTCCGCAAGTCCATGAGCACAGTCATCAACATGAAGTTTGGGTACAGGCTGTTCACCAAAGGGGCATCTGAAATTGTCTTGAAAAAGTAAGAAGAATGGAGGAAACTGATCATGATGTATTGAAAGCAAAGTTGTAAATCTGATATTTCATGTATATGATAACTCAAGGGCACAAGATAATTTAATTGTAAATTTTATGAAAGAGCTTTTGTGAAAACAAATATCTTGTTTCATATATTCATAAGATGTTTACTTACACATGCTTAAAGGACTTATCGCATGTTTCTAAATTATTTGAAATTAAAAGCGTATTACGTTCCTTATGACCACAATTTATAAATTCTGTGTTTTTACTGTGCATGAATCGCGGTAATTAGCAAATTATTGACTCAAATGAAAACCCCTGAATTAAAAATCTAAGTTAATTAGATAGCGATCACGTGACCCCGTGACGTCAAAGGCGACAATGGCTGATCAGCTCTTCATTAATCTTACTAAAATATACGCGATACAACCTGAATTTTCTGCGTTGTGGACGACCAAATCACTTATTTTGTCGATATAAAATTGAATATTCAACCTTATATGTTAGAATTGTAAGCAAGAAAAAATCTGAAAAATCTGTTAACATTGTAAAAATAGCAGCGACGATAGCGAGGGAGACGCAGCGAAGACGAAGAAACTCGCCATAACAATGCAATTTGATTTGTCATCTTATCACATGTATTAACTTATTTGATTCACAAATTAAACATTATAAAACTTTGTTATTCTTCGTTTTGTATATAATATTAATTTATGCAAGTCTTCATATGTTTTTTAAAGGATAGCGATCTTGAAAAATAATTTCCTGATCACGAAACATTGCCGTAATTAGAGCTACAGGTTCTAAATGTTTTGAATAAAAAACGAAAATATCTTAAAAGCCTTATACCTTAGAACTAATTTATGTTTCTATAATAATTGAAAATCATATAAGGAATTAATTTTTTTCAACATTTTTCGTAATTTAGCTGCATTTGTCATTGATAACCCCGTTAATAGTGTGCATATTCTCATCTCTCTATCACCGAATTGTCGCCTATGACGTCAGAGCAGTATTTCGCGGAAATCCGACTGAAATATGCATATTGCCGTATTTGAATTTCAACTCTTAATATCTCTTAAAGTATGCTTTCAACAACGATTATTGTATTCAGCATTTTGATAAATAAGGTTATAGATAATATTTTTCATAAAATTACGATTTTTGAAAGATCATGCGATAAGTCCTTTAAGGAAGTAGTTAGTCTGTTTTCATGATAATTGATATTTTTTTAAAGATGTAATTACATTTTGGATTGCGATGGTAAGCCAAAGCCCTTCACAATGGAAGACCAGGAGAAGATTGTAAAGAATGTGATTGAACCCATGGCTGGAGACGGACTCAGGACAATCTGTGTCGCCTACAAAGATTACCACACTGATTCAAGTTAGTGTCTCACAATGAAAATTTGTGATGCATAGAAACTATGCCTAAATTAAGTTATCAGAGCAACTGACAAAGAGAGTTGTAATTCTCTATAGCAGTCATTAGAAAAACCTTTAGGATTCTGCTTAAAATCTAGATATTTTAAGTTCATCAACCCTTTGATAAGAGAGATGCTCTCCCTGAAATGTCAACTATTTCCTTTTATATAATATATATATATCAAATTTACGTGCTATTTTTGCCAAAATGTCAAGCTATGCTGAAAATGTTTGCATTTTAATTATAAGTTAGATTTCTTGTGGAGATCATTATTGTTAAAGCAGAATATTACACGAGTGAACAGAGGGACACTGAACCTTAATTTGATCTTGTATATATGCATATAAAATAATTTTCATGAACAATAAAGAGGTACATTTTACCACCGTATTCTGTGTATTAAATAGTTCATTGTATTAGAGAGTTCACTGTTACAATCAGGTACCAAAACTGAGGAAAATGAGGTGATTTTGAAGCCAGACCATGATTGGGAAGATGAGGATTCCGTCGTACGAAATCTGACCTGTATTCTGGTTGTCGGTATCCAGGACCCCGTCCGAGATGAGGTAGGTGTCTCCTACATTCAGTGATCATTAGTACTTTGGTCAAATTGGAGACTTTTTGGTATATTGTCATGGGTGTTTTCTCATGACCAAAAATCACAGCAGAATAGAGGCACATGTAGTTTTCCCTAGAAATTCCCCAAATTGTTTATATTTTCCAATATTGATTTGTTGGATGGCAATAAAATTAGAAAAACAGTTAAAAATTTGTCAGTTAGATAGAGCTAGGGAGACACTGCTTTTTTTGTCCAGTCAAGTGAGGTCCCTAATCCCTTTTAAATTTTTACCAACTTTAATGAAAACAAACAAAAGCTGTAGGAGACATAGCATTTCGAAGAATTGTCCACACATTAATCTTTTACTGATAATCAAGGGAACATTGCTCATCAATTTAGAACCAGTAGAGAAAATATTATATATCTTAATGTTTGTGTAAAGTTTCATTGATATTGGATCAAAACTATTGATTTGAGAATTGTTGCAACAATGCTCATCTAAATTAAAAAAATTACAATACAAAGCTAGTATCTTTGATTTTAATGTAAATTTCTTCCCAGAATGGATGAATAGGGCTATTTTTAGAATGAGTGAAAAACACTGACTTTGACATAGAAAGAAGAATTGTTGTTACTATGCACAGAGACATGTTGTTGGCACTGGTGAACTGGTTTATGATCATGGAAAATTTAGATTATGTTGGAGACTATAATTTGTCTATTTTTAAGATTCATGATGGAATTAATATATGGCTTTTATTTTAATTTTCAGGTCCCTGCAAGCATAAAACAATGTCAGAGTGCTGGAATAACAGTAAGGATGGTCACAGGAGACAACGTTAACACAGCACGATCCATTGCCACCAAGTGTGGTATTCTGACTCCACATGACCATTTTCTTGTTCTAGATGGAAAGGAGTTCAACAAACGTATCAGAGATGCTAATGGAGAGGTAAATTGTCTTGTCATTAAAATTCCATGCTTTCCTCACAAAAATCAAAATTGGTAACATGAAATCATTTGACAGTATGATATATTGATAAATCGAAGTGAATTTTTCCATATATTTTAGGATAGAAGCTTTTAGATAATGTTTAATGTTGAATGTATTTATCATACATCATTTCAATAACACTTTTTTAGGTTAGCCAGGAACTTCTAGATAAAGTTTGGCCAGACCTGAGAGTTTTGGCCAGGTCATCGCCCCAAGACAAGTACACTTTAGTAAAAGGCATTATAGACAGCAAGAGATCAAGCAGCCGAGAAGTGGTGGCAGTTACTGGGGATGGAACCAATGATGGCCCAGCCCTCAAGAAAGCTGATGTTGGATTTGCTATGGTAGGGTTTTATGTATGTGATAAAAGTGGGAGGGAAAGGGGGTGTAAAAAATTTGGTTCTCAAATTGATAATGATGCATATCTTAGACACTTTGAAGCCTATGATCATCAAACCTTGTCAGTTGATGCATGTTGAGTTCTGGGAGTATGTTAACCAAAAAGTGGGTCACTGTGACCTACTTTTAAAAAATCATGGCTGTATCTGATATTTTAGGATAATAAGAGGCTTAGAATCATCAAACTTTGTTGATAGGTCCTCTTGCGTGTTTCAACCAAAAAGTAGGTCACTATTTTTGGAATTTCATAGTTGCTTCTTGATATTTAGGATAATAAAGGGTCTAGAACCATCAAACTTTGTTAGTTGACTTGTTTAGGTTCTTGGATTTTGTCAAAGAAGTGTCACTGTGATGACCTTTTGGAATTTTACACCATTATATATAAATATTTGGGATAATAAGAGACATTGAATCGTCAAACTTTTTCAATTGATACATCTTGGGTTCTCTGAGTGTGATAACCAAAAAGTGGTTCTTGGTGTCCTACTTTTGGAATTTCTTGGTTTTATCTAAATATTTCCAATAACAAGAGATTTTGAATCATCAAAGTCTGTGAGGACCTCAGAGTGTTTCAATCCAAAAGTTGTGTGACCTACAGTATTTTGGAATTTCATAGTTGTAATATTTAGGATACTAAGAGGCTTAGAATCATCAAACTTTGTTACTTGACTCGCTTGGGTCCTTGCATTGTGTCACCCAAAAAGTAGATCAGCATGACCTACTTTTAGAGTTTCAAGGCTATATCTGAATATTTCCGATAAGAAGAGGCTAAGAATCATCAAACTTTGTCAGTTTAAACATCTTGAGTTTTCAGAGTGATTAAACCAAAAAGTAAGTCACACTGACCTACTTTTGGAATTTCAAGGCTTTATCTAAGTAATTGGATACTAAGAGCTTTTAGTTTAGAAGTGACAGGGTAATACAATTCATCAGAAGAGTGATTCTAGGCACTTGGGCCTCTTGTTTAACGTTTTCATCAAAATATTTTGATAAATAATAAAACGGAATAAGAAAAATTGTTTGAGAGATCCTTTACAAAATATGCAGGAAAAATAAACGTGTGTAGAAAAAATCTTATGTTTGTTAAAACGACAAGTTTGGATAATTTATAGCATATAGCCAAACTGACAACCTCTTCAGGCAAAAAGTAAATTGTGGTTCTTATTTTTCAGGGTATCTCAGGAACAGATGTAGCAAAGGAGGCGTCGGATATTATTCTGACAGATGACAATTTTACCAGCATTGTCAAAGCTGTAATGTGGGGCAGAAATGTCTACGACAGCATCGCTAAATTTTTACAATTCCAGCTCACTGTCAATTGTGTTGCTGTGATGGTGGCTTTCTTTGGAGCATGTATTATCAATGTAAGTTAGGGGTACATTTCATGATGTTGACAGGTCTACATATCAGTGCTATCTTGAAATTTAACTTCAGCTATCGGAAATTAAAAAGTTTGGACATCCAGATTTCTTGTTTTTGTCATATTGATTTTCTTGACACAAAAAATTCATTTGCTATCAGTGAAATTTTTTTTTTTTTGGTCCATTTACAGGACAGTCCATTGAAAGCTATCCAGATGTTATGGGTTAATCTGATTATGGACACCCTAGCATCTCTAGCTTTGGCCACTGAGCTGCCCAGCCCAGAACTTCTAAAGAGAAAACCTTACGGCAGAACCAAAGCTCTTATCTCCCGAACCATGACAAAAAATATTTTGGGACATTCTATTTATCAGCTTATTGTTGTATTTGTTCTGTTATTTGCAGGTCAGTATCGCTCACTATGTTTGTTATTTGATATGATAGTTGTTCCTTTTCAAAAAGCACATTTTTATGACCATTATTTTGCATTTTATATTGTTAAGGGCTATTCCAGTAAAACTTATCTTAGGGGTAGCACATAAAAATTCACTACCATTAATTTAGCTTTAGAATCAAGAGATGAGAAAGAATACTCTAATAAGTATTTTAAACTTTCCATTTAGAAAACATTTAAATTTTTTGTAATCTTAATGTTTGTATAAAGGTACTTGCTATGTCATAGGCATTGCATCAAGATGTTTATCAAATTTTGATGTAGATTAGTAAATCGTTTTTATGTTAGGCTAAAATGTTCACACATATATAGTGAAACACAAAAAAACTGTTGAAATATTTGGCCATACAATAGTTGAAAAGGACATATTGTTTTATGGGACCTGAAAAATGATAACTAACAAAAACATACATTTGAAGGAATAAGTTATTTTATTCACTGACATTCGAAGACAATTGTAGATTTTATTTTTCTGTAGGGAGGGTGGTTGACCATTTTACAAAAAAAAAATTTTTTTACTTTATAGATGATGGGTCTAATATTTATGTACCCCTTCAATAAGTTTTACAGACAATTTTTAGTAGTTTAAAAAAATGACTATAATGCAAATTTTTTCCTCACAAATATTTAGGATGGATAATAGTATAATATTATGTCACAATGAATGCTATATAAAAAACAATTATCTGTAGAATAGGTGAAAAAAGATTAAACAATTATTGTTGCAGGCATTAAAATTTTTTTTTTTCTTTTACAGGAAATAATTTGTTTGAAATTGATGATGGAAAATATGCGAAAATCCATGCCCCTCCATCACAGCACTTCACTATTATATTTAATACATTTGTTATGATGACATTATTTAATGAAATTAATGCTCGAAAAATTCATGGGCAGCGTAATATTTTTGAAGGATTAAGAAGAAATCCTGTATTTATAGGAATATGGATTGGTACATTTGTAGCACAGGTGAGGATTCTAAACCATATACATGTATATCTGATTCTCTAGCTAGCAATTATCACTTCTTCAAAATTTGGTATCAGTTTAAAGAAAAACTGTGATTTAATCAAAGACCTTGATGGCAAATAACAAAAATATTTGAAAATATGACGTATAAAGATATGTTGAAAAAGAAAAACGGGAAACAACAACAAAATGGGGAAAAAAGTTCTCTTTTTAAATGAAAGAAAATGTCACTTGTGTGTATTTTTAACATGTTATATGAAATCTGGAGAATAATGTAATGTGACTTAAATTTACAGATAATCTTAGTACAGTTTGGTGGCACTGTATTTTCTACAAAGGCACTAACATTAGACCAGTGGTTCTGGTGTGTGTTTTTAGGAGTAAGCACATTATTATGGGGACAGGTAAGTCTGTTATGCAAAATATTCTTATATCTGTATTTTCCTCTTGTACTAAGTAATGTTTCAGCAATGTTTGGTTATGATATGAAAGGGATCACTATCAAGTTTGTTGGGTATGTGAGGGCATTAACAACAGTCGGAGATGGGCTTGTTACATATAAATTATCCCATATGTTTCCAACTTGTTATTGCCCTGACATACCCAACAAACTAGATAGCGATCCCTAATATTAACATTTAAGTATGAAATTAAAATGTACAGTATAAATCAAAATACTGTCTAATAGAACTGAAGTACAGGCAGCAATCCATGTTAATTTCCATTATCTTGGCTCTGATAAAATACAGTCCTAAGGGCCATGCATAGGTTAAAACTTTATGGCACTTCATCTCAAGCAGGTGAAATCTCTACATGAGTAAAAAATTCTTTGAATGAGATGTAAGACAACATACAATCAATCCTTGTAGAGAAACAAAACTTCTTAAAGTAAATTTGAAGAGGATTTTCTTGGTGTAGATTTGAGAAAATTTTTTTTTATCAGAAGACTAGAAATTCATTTTACTCCATACAGCTCAATTTAACAATCTCAGATTGCACCAAAAATCCTGCAATAAGTTTGATTTTTTTTCTTCTCCAATTGTATGAGTGACAGGAAGTTGTATAATCTAGGCAAGAAATTGCCTGGTATATTTTCTTCCAAAATACCAATAATTTAAGTGGAGTTATATTATTATGTAGAAAAACAAAACACTTTTCATTGCATTAAAGGCCATTATGCTCACCCAGTGTACTTTCACTTTTGCCAGGCTAGTAAGCAATTTCAAAAATGTTATAATCTAGGAGGGTTAATTTTATTCTGATTTGTCCTTTTTCACATACTTATTGCTTCTTGTTTCTTAGAACAATGAAGCTTTAATGTGCTTTGTGTTGTTTTGACAGATAATTACAACTATTCCAACATCTGTCATACCAAAGAACATCTGCAAGAAGGGTAAGAAATCCCTGGAGGTGGAAGATGAAGAAGAGGAGGAGGTAGAAGAGGTGGACGGAATGCCGGGACGCCGCGGACAGATCTTGTGGATCCGAGGCCTGGCTCGTCTGCAGACTCAGGTAAGGGCATGCTGCTGTGTGAGTGTATGCTGTTGTCGACTAAACATATATTCCATTGTTGTGCAACTATTACCTAGAGAGAAACTGACTATTTCCATGCAGGTTACTAACTGTAGAATTTCAGGAATTTTGTTTAATATGATTGAGATTTTTACAGGGTTGCAGTTGATATTTTTTTTTTCAGTTTTCTTAAGTTTTTTGGTTATGATTAAATCTTGAGCATCGATCAAGCTGAAAATTGAATTTCTTCCACTGTCCTACTGTTTAATTATGTCAATTTGATTATTCTTCTTTAAAGTAGCTGCAGCATATATTGAAGTAGCAATTGGAAGAAATCAATTTTGCAAGTGCATTGAAAGCATTTTTGATAGATATATAGATAGATTATATCACCACAGTATTCAGTTTTTAATTAACCTAGGCAGATTTTAATGCTTAAATAAAAAGCCGATTGTTAGTAGCACATGGCAACAAGTTTATCTTATAGGTACATGTAATTTCTTATACACATTACCATTTCTTTTAAAATGGAAATCCAGATTATTAGTTTCTCTCCATGAACATCTATATTAAACTTCCAAAAGGTTTTTTGAATTTATGTTATTAGGATATCTGTCATCACAATTTAGACTTGTTGCCTGGAGCTAAATTAGTATGATCATGATTTTAGACATTTTGTGAATATATGCTAGAGATGTTTTTAGTTTATCCATGCATTTACAGACATCTTGAGAACATGATTAGTGTCACCTCTTCATTCATTTGCGTTAGTCCCAATCATTTTTGTTTGGATAGTGGTTAGGGTGTTTTTTTTTTCCTGTTTTTGGGAGAAAGTTACCCAGTGAGAAAGAGAACATTGTTTTTGGTGTTGTACAGTCCTCAGTGTTTTTCCAGTTTTTGTTATATCCTGTATCATAGTCATGGCCCGACCCTGGTTTTTTCTTTTGTTTGGTCTTCATTTTCAACAGCTCGAGCATGCTCATCAGTCTCTGTTACTATCCTCCCGCCGTGAGGAGCATTCAGGTTTCTTATTTATTCATTGTGCAACAAATCCCATTCCACCATGTTGACCTTGTATCAACTAAGAAGCCTAAAGCAGCAGAACCAAATTTGGTTTCTTGTAGTTTTAGCAAGGTGTATAGTGAATGTGGTCCCTTTCATTGTTGTGGCTTTCCATTCAGTAGCAATTTATTAAATTTGGAAAGACCATGACAAAACTGTTTTGCAGATTAAATGTGAATCTCTTTTCATTGGCAGTTACGGGTAGTCCGAGCGTTTAAAAGCACACTGGAGGACTTGGAGGAAAAACGTAGTGTCAACAGTTATCACAGTTTTCATAGCTTGCGAAGTTCTCGCTCTCACCAGGGGCCCCGACCCATGAGCGAGTCGGTGACCATTGCAAACCACCATGAACGAATTTGCCGCCGATTAACTACGGCGTTTGAAAAACCATTTCCCAAAATGCCCGTCTCCCCACCCGAGCCTGGATTTAGACTTAAGAGCCAGTCATATGAAAATGTTCCCCTTGTCTCTAAACAGCCATCTCCTCTGATGGCCCCAATAAACCCTAACCACCGGGAATCTTCCCCTAAGACTTTGAGTTATGCTGACGTTAATAGTATTACGGAAACTTCTATATGAGGAAAGTTTCCTTTACGATCTGAAGGAAATAAACTGTTCCTTAGACATTTTAGACAACTGATGGTCTCCAGTCTGCTTGTTTCTGGGTATGCTGTGATGTTTTGCTTATAAATCAGTGATTTTTTGATACTGATTGTGTATGTTTTTTAATGATAGTAGTTGAGATGTGCTTTCATGGAAAGAGACAGTTTTTATAATTGTAAAAATATATATTCAGAAGAGACATATTGAAATATGCTTCCTAGAATTTGTAGTAGTTAGTACATTGTCTGAAACTTGCCTGTTGCAGGAAGTCCCTTTTTAACCAAGTTATGTGTGTTTAAGGGTATTTATAAGAGGAATGACTATATGTGGCAAAGGATTTCTTTTTTCATGAAAAAAAACCTCCACTAAGGTTTTGCAAGTGAGGTGTAAGTGAGTAGAAATAAATACATATCACAGGTTTTTTTTACCTCGAGGATGAAGAAAATTTCTATTTTACTTAGAATTCTAGGAATTTGGGAACTGGACTCTGATTCTTAAAACCAAACATACTAATAACTCCAGTTCCAAGAAAAAAAAACCCTTGTCCTCACTTAGTCTTTGTGACATGTTTTTGAAAAGTCACAAAGTATATAGTATAATTTGATGTCGCATATTGCAAATATTGTGTGCAATTGTCCAAGAGTCCTGGCCTTGTATTGTTGCCCCAGAATCAGGTATATACGAACACTGTTGTGTTGTATAATGTCTTGCGCTGTAGCTTTTAGTCCATACACATCAGTTTGTGCTAGAAATTTTAAGTTCTTTTACAAAACACAGCAGTATGCTTCAACAATAAGACTCATTGATAGAAGGTTTACACTGACATATAGAAATAAGAAAAAGTCAAAATATTCATATAAATCTTTATATGTAATGGACTGAACTAACCATGAGTTGATGTTGTTGAGACATACTGCACAGATTGTAGTTTATCCCAACTTCTTTTAAACCCAACCTGATTTGTTGTGTTCAATTTCTTTTTTCAGATTCGTGTAATTAATGCATTCCGTATGGGCGTAGATGCACGATTTGACAGTTCTAGTATCACATCAATGCACAGTTACCATTCTCTACAAAATCAAAAGCTTAGAAAACCTGTGACCACCGCATCAAGTCCGCTAGCGACGTCAGGTGATGAGGGAGGGGCGGCTGAAACACCGTTCTAAGCAATGCTGTTACTCAAGGGGCAAATGGTTTCAGTGCCGAATTAAGACAATTTACATTAAACTCACGGGAACATTCTCTATATTTTTGGTGTATGCTAAAACTATGAAGCTAAAAAAAGATATATTTTTCCCATTATTTTGAACTTGGAAAAGATATTTTTAGCTTTAAGTACTGTTCAGTGTATGAAGCGCTCTTATGTAAATTGAACAAGTTATTGTATCATAATGTAAAGCAGCAAATATTCCATTGTTTCTGTGTGAAGGGAGAGTGAAAAGTGGGAATCCATCATATTTTTTATTACCTGGGTCTCTGTGCAGTGATCACTTTATAGTATTGCATGTATTTCCCCCCAAGCTTTGATTGGTCAGTTTGAATGTTATGACTAAATCAGCTTTGATTGGTCGGTTTGAATGTACTGACTAGATCAGCTTTGATTGGTCAGTTTGAATGTTATGACTAGATCAGCTTTTGATTCATTGATCTGAATGTTATGACTTGATCATGCTTTAGTTCTTGTGACTTGTAGTCATTTCCTTTCATTCATTTTACTACTTATGATTTATATGTTTGATATGTATAGATAGCTGAAGACATAGCTGGAAATTGACCAATCCTCCTTTTCCATTATTGTCAGGTGATTTTATTTTTCTTTGGTTCCTGTCAAAACCTTTTTGATTGTTCAACATCCAGATCACAGGACCCCCAAACACCACCTTCCATAATAACCCATCCTCCTTCCATCCCAACATGTATATAAATACCTCATTTTAGAAGAAAAGATAATTGTAGACAGAACTGTCTTCAATATTGACATCAACAAAGATGATCAATACCTTATGTAGAGGGTTTATAATGTTGCATATTCCCTGGTTTATTCATCTAAGTGCGTAACAGTTATTGAATAGGATACTTAATGTCCCATGAACACCATTGTCTTTGGAATTACTAGCGGATACTCCAGATAGCATTCCCACTTAAATATAGCATATGTATCAAGTTTCATATATATTTAGATCAAATGATAATTTCTAAGACTTCATGTTTTGAATAAAGAGAGACATTCTTCGCTATACCACAGGTTTTACCATTTTATTGAGGGATTTTTTAAAAAAAAATGTAAATTTTATCTGTTTTTCGGATTGCATCTTGACATATTCGGTGATATTGCAGTAGACTAACATTGTCCTTAAATGTTGATCAAACAGATATAAGGGACCAGTCCATCTTTCATTTGTATTGAATCACTCCATTGCAAACTGTGTGAAAAAAAGTTTGCATGGAAATAGATTTGTGAACTTGTAGTCATAAGACTGTGATGAGAAAAATCAGTTTCTGTTTATTTATGATTGTACAGACATGTGCAGGACAGCAATTTGTGTGGGATGATTTATCCATTGTTTTAAATTGTATGTTCTAGTTATATGATTTGATTGTCATTTATCCATATCATGAATGTGTATTTTTGCTGATGTAGCTTAGGAATTAACAATGTTTACAGCTTACCTATAGTTTCTCTAATTTTTGTTTAAATGTTTTCTGGAGAGAGGAATTTGTTGAAAAAACACATTTCACATTCCAATTTTTATATTCATTTACTTTCCATTTGAAGTTTTTCCTCATTTGATGTCTTACAAAATTTGGTTCTGGTACATTTAATTCTTTTACATATTAAAATATAAAATATAATATAGAATGATATTAAAGTAACAAATATCTAGGGAAAAATTAAAAAGACAGTGAAAAAAGTAACGAATGAGTGATTTTTTTCTTAGAAATTGAATGTATTCACTTGACAGTAATTAAATAAATTGACATATCTATAAATATATAATATTATTTTTATATTAATATTATCATGCATATAAGAAATTTCTTTTGCTTTACAAATAAAAGTTTTAATTTTTTTTTCTCTTGTTTCAATTATTACATTCATGATGAAAAGTTCTAGTTAAATGTCCACACAAACAACACAGGAATTTATTTAGAAGGGTGCACCATTTGATATTTTCATACATGTGTAAGAGAGAGAGTGTGAGATTTGCAGATGTTGGCTCTGTACTGTATAAGGCCATTTTTTGGATGTATCAGAATATTGTTAATTTCCTAACTTGAATTGCATATGTCCATAGACCTATGCTATTCGTATGTAAAAGTTAATATTGTGTTTGTTTATAAAACAACCACATGTATAATGTATATTTCTTTGTACTCCTTGCTGTGTTTAAATAGCTGTGTATACATTCCTTAACATAGATAATTTAAAATATTTGTTTATGGGTTTTATTACAATAGAGAAATAAAAATTTAAATGTCTGATAATTTGTCTGTATTTTCTTTTATGTTGAATTGTGAGAGTTACCCCACCTTTTTGAACAAATAGATAATATCCTTAATTCTACATGAAATATTGCCCTAAGAATCTGTAAGTACTTTTGTCACTGTATAATAATATTTCATCCCTTATCACAATTGCACGTTTTCATATAGATGCATTTTATGAATTTTTAGAACAAAGCTGGTCACTTTACACTTACATAATGTAATTAGTTTGAAATTGATGTTGATGGGCACACAGTTTGATTGAAACTTAAAGAAAATGCAATGTGTTGTATTTTCTGAGAGTTTGTAATTATGAATGAAAAAAGCTTCAAACCATTGACCGGAAGTGACGTAGTTGTCTTGCAGAATGTATTTGAATGTTTGTCAACATGAGCATGACCACACTGCAGTTTTTCAACTTGTAGCATGTGTACTTTCAGTTTGCATGTTATTTAAGGTGCATGTCTATCCTACTTTCGTTTACAGTTGCCTAATATGAAGCCTGATTTTACCATTTGAAAATTATACATTTTTTTTTTAAATTAAATCGTGCAAGACGTAAAAAATATCGTAAGCAATTTTATTTTTCTAATAAAGTAATGGAAATTCATATTTCACAAATTCAGTGAATGAATATACCCATGCATTGATGTAAGGCCTTTTTTCTACTTTCTCTTTCAGATCCGTGTTGTAAATGCTTTCCAAATGGACTTTGACACTTCCCAACTAGACAGCTACGATAAGAGGAGTCGACCTTCAGTAATTAGTCTTCAATCATTACAATCAGCACAACACAGGTCGGCCATCTCTAAAAAACCCAATCTGGCAAGTTCGCCGGAAATAGACGAGGGAAACAATCGATCCCCTCTATTTGGAAGACAAGACAGTATCCCCTATGCTGATGAATAAGCTCATAGAAAATACTATGAATTTAGGTTTTATGTAATTTACTCTTTTGGAATATTCCATAGACTCGAGTCATTCTTAAAAAAAAATCACACGTTTCTATATTTTATATAACCCATTTGTTCATGCAGACCAACATTCGCAACTTGCTCTCACATACACATGTATATTACTCTTCTGATGTTTTTCTCAATTATAATTATATTTCTTTAAAAAGTTATGCTAAACGGAATATATTTTGTCACGGACTTGCAGGAGTAAAAGCTAAAATGATAAAAAAACAACAACATTTGTTCCAATTGTTAACAATTTATTAAGATGATTGCTCATTTACATGTAAAGAAAAAAAAAGCAGTGAGATGTTTTGCATGAGAATTGGATGCTCTGAGACATATTCATCTCATTTGAACGTGTATGCATAATGACATTGCGATATAATAGCATGCTATAACATATGGAACATATATTAAGTTGCTTATACTGAAATCAGTATATCTCCCTGTGTCGGTTTATATTCAGGAAACAGCAACAATAAATGGGTCAAGCCAACTCTAAAATTTTATTCTTTCCCCTAATTTTATGATGTTTAATTTAATTGTTCGATACTTTATATTTAAAAAAATAGAGGACTATAACACAGATATTATAATACAATATGATATGGATAATATAGTATTTTACAAGGATAAGTTTGTGAGGCAGCTACGGTATGTAGAGTGTTATGTTTCTGATAAGAGTACTTGTTGAGTTCCTACACTATAATACACCAAGAGTGATATTGACGACCTAATTTCTTCTGATGATCTTCCGTAATCTTGAATTATCTCACGTTTGTTGTAGACTTCGTAAAAAGTCCAGACCTTTCAGGAAAGAAGTTCCAGTATCAACCGGAAGCGGAAGTACGTCATAACGAGACTATTAAAATGTCTGCTTTACATGGGTTTAACATTTGGCATTTCGGCGACTTTTACAGAAGGACAGAATTTGCGCGCCATATTGATATATATCCCATAAGCCACTTGTAGCATAGTGTCATGTGTGGCATGTCACCTTGAAGGCATGAAGGCTCTCTTCACTAACCTATGTATATTGGTGTATATGTTACAATCACCTAACATTATTCCTTACCGGCGAAAAGTAATGGGATTTGGCTGATGTGTTTGATTTTATATATATATTCAATATCAGACACTGGCATGCATGTAAATTGTCAATTTAATCTTGCAGTGATTTGTTTAGATAGTCCTCATTGTGAACACCACATATTTATTGGGTTATGTTGCATCTGTTTTATTTTTTGACACAAATATCACGTATCTTCGTTGTTATAAGTTATGCATATTGCATACTAAATGCTGTTCATGTTGTCAAGAAATGAAAAGGTCTTGATGTATAATTTATGTGCTATTTATTCTGTTCTATTTTCATGATCACGAAAATGTGTTAAAACTGCTAGAAAGAAAAAAAATTATTGAAGTGCAAATTTAGTGGAGGCTTTTTTATGTTCATTGCAAAAACGTTGTGACCTCTATTTCTTCACAAGTTAGAAGGATAACTTCCTACACTCTATCGTTGTTGTTCTGTATTTGTAAATGTTACCATGAAAAAAAAAATCTTCTCCGTTTGTTAACTGAGTTGTTTGAACCCTGCACTTAAATTATTTTTGTCTGAAATCACCAGAAATACCAAAAACGAAAAAAAAAAAAATACAACTAGTCAAACACACTGTGATACACACATGAAGAAAAATAGCCTCAAAGTTACTGCATCTGTACTTATATACCGGAAATGTGTCCAAAGTTATACCATTTCATAGAATGGTATGGTAGTAGATTGTATATATATATATATACATGTATATATACTTGTCTAAATGGAATGTTAGGAATTTCACCTTTTCTGTCTGTTGAGGTTTTCAGTCTTGTACATGTGTATCATATCCTGTTCCATTAAGTTTGATTTTGTGTGTAGATTAAGCATGTTGCTAACGTGTGTGACGCTGGTTCATGTTGAAAACGAGGCTGCTGTCCTGCTGCTTTTACAAGAGAATCCTAACCTGATCAATTAAAATTTTTGATCCTACCTAGATTATTGAACAATCCGCCTAGACACCTACATGTTAAGTGAAATTCATTTCGAAAAACCACAGTCTACCACAAATGCAAATTAACTGAAATTCAAACACATGTAATGCGTTTTATTTTGATGACGTTTTATAGATCATTACAGTAAATCAGGATTACAGTGGTTGCACTTAAATAACTAAAATAAATTCCTATGATGACAACAGAATTTTATAGTTCTCTAAACAAGAGTGAAGATAGATGATTTCCCCCCAAAGAATTGTTAAAATTTATCTCTGCTTTTTTTGCGTCACGTCTTCACAAGACGATATTATGTTAACAGGTGACGCCATAATGCTTGTTAAAATGTTTGTAAGAGTGGAATGCGATTTGAAGAGTACATATATAAAAGTTTTGTACAAGGTTTTGTGATGCAAGAAAACATGGTTTATATAATTTATTGTGTTTTTAATCCAAAAAGTGTGTTGTATTAGAAACATGTTGAAATAAAGAAATAACCTTTATACAAAACTAAAATAAGTTGTTCTAGTTAATTTGCTTTTCCGTTTTGTTTAAAAAAAAGTTTAATATAATTTTCATTTCTATTTTGTTTTCTGATATGGTAGCTGCATTGCTCTAAGTTCGAAGCAGTGATTTGAAAAAAAGGAAAAGGGGGGAGGTGAGGCGTTAATCGAGTGACTAAACATTACTCCTCTCAGAAACATGTAACACATTTCTTTTTAGCTCACCTGAGCTGAAAGCTCAAGTGAGCTTTTCTGATCACATTTTGTCTGTAGTCCGTCTGTCTGTCTGTCTGTCTGTCCGTCTGTCCGTCCGTCTGTAAACTTTTCACATTTTCGACTTCTTCTCCAGAACCACTGGGCCAATTTCAACCAAACTTGCCACAAAGCATCCTTGGGTGAAGGGGGTTCAAGTTTGTTCAAATGAAGGGCCACGCCCTCTTCCAAGGGGAGATAATTAAGAATTGGTGAAAATTTGGTGTCATCTTTTAAAAATCTTCTTCTCAAGAACCATTAAGCCAGAAAAGTTTATACTTATGTGAAACCTTCATTACATAGTGTAGATTCAAGTTTGTTCAAATCATGACCCCCGGGGTAGGGTTGGGCTACAATGGGGGATCAGAGTTTTACATAGGAATATATAGGGAAAATCTTTAAAAATCTTCTTCTCAAGAACAACAAAGCCACAATTAGTCATATTGATATGGAATCATCCTCAGGTAGTGTAGATTCAAGTTTGTTCAGATCATGACCCCCAGGGGTAGGTTGGGGCCACAATGGGGGATCAAAGTTTTACATAGGAATATATAGAGAAAATCTTTAAAAATCTTCTTTTCAAGAACATCAAAGCCACAATTAGTCATATTGATATGGAATCATCCTCAGGTAGTGTAGATTCAAATTTGTTCAAATCATGACCCCCGGGGGTAGGGTGGGGCTACAATGGGGGATCAAACTTTTACATAGGAATATATAGGAAAATTCTTTAAAAATCTTCTTCTCAAGAACAACAAAGCCACAATTAGTCATATTGATATGGAATCATCCTCAGGTAGTGTAGATTCAAATTTGTTCAAATCATGACCCCTGGGGGTAGGGTGGGGCCACAATGAGGGATCAGAGTTTCATATAGGAATATATAGAAAAAAAAATCTTCTTCTCAAGAACCACAGAGTCACAATTAGTCATATTGATATGGAATCATTCTCAGGTTGTGTAGATTCAAGTTTGTTCAAATCATGACCCCTGGGGGTAGGGTGGGGCTACAATGGGGGGATCAAATTTTTACATAGGAACATATAGGGGAATTCTTTAAAAATCTTCTTCTCAAGAACAACAAAGCCACAATTAGTCATATTGATATGGAATCATCCCCAAATATTGTAGATTCAAGCTTGTTCAAGGCATCCTCCAGCAGTAGGGTGGGGCCATAATGGGGGATCAAAGTTTAACAAAAGATCATATACAGGAAATATCTTTAAAAATCTTCTTCATTCTCAAGAACAACAAAGCCATGATCAGTCATATTGATATGGAAGCATCCTCAGGTAGTGTACATTCAAGTTTGTTCAAATCATGCAATCATGAACCCCCCCCCCCCCCCCCCCAAAGCAGGGTAGGGTGTTAGACATATCTAAAATTCTGTTTTAAAGAATAGCAAAATCATGATTAGTTATATGAAGATAGAAGCATCCTCAGAAGGTTTATATTCAGTTTCATTCAGAACATGGCACCTTGGGGTAGGGTATGCCTAGAACAGGCGATTAAAGCTTTATATATGAATATATAGGAGAAATATAGGAGAAGAAATCTGCTGACGAAGAACAGCAGGGCCATATTGACTCAGGTGAGCGTTGTGGCCCATGGGCCTCTTGTTTAAAAATCGTATGATTAACGAACAGACGAAAACCCCAAAATGACTGGGAAATTATCTTTGACATTCACTGCTCTGATGGAAAACCCTGGAAAAGACTAGTTATTTAAAAAAGAGACCCCCTTAGATTAATGAGATTTTTTTTATGTGAGTTTCAATATTTGTTGCTTGCCTAGCTATTGGAAATCGTATCGTACGTGTATAGCATAAGACGCTAAATGAGAAGGAATTTGAAAAGCAGAAGGAATATGAAAAAATTAAATAATTTTGATTAAACAAAGCAAATGTTAGTCGTTATATATGTTCGTTATATGTTATCAGAATATTTTTTTAAAAGGTATATATATGAATGAAATTCTTCGGCAACACTTAAAATAAATAAAGGTTTACGTCTATAAAATTACGTTGATTACGTCCAATTATTTACTTTCATTTATCGCGGTTGATACATTACTTTTGTATCAGACTTTGTACAATGTTTGATGTTCTCTTTAAATTGTCCACATTTGTAAACTTAATCCTTACTTTAATAATGCATATTAAGTCAAACCCGCCTTGAAATAGTGAAACTTTCCTGACAGAAATAAGAAAAAGAGTCGTCTCCCACTGTGCAGAAATTGAAATTTCTATCCATGAGAAAGTAATGAGAATATGTAACTATGTGTTCCGTACCAGGCTCATTTACAACGAATTCGCAGAAAAAGTTATCAATAATTATTAATTTTCATTTGTATAAATATTTTTTTTTAAATTTGATAAATACTGCATGCTTGGGAAAAGTACGCCCTGTGAAAAAATCTAAAATTTAATAATGAACTGGATCAAAAAGTCATCTATATTGCTTTTAAAAGCATTTACGAGGGTCAATCCATAAGAAATGTTACTAGTGCTATAAAATTTTCCTTTTTTTATGCGGCGCCTTCATGATCCAATACCTTTCAGCATTCATTTTCAAATAATAAATAATTTATAATAGGAAGTAATCAACAAAACGTGGTATAACAAAACCTTGATCTATTTTGACCGTTTCCTAAACAAAATCATTCAGATACATGTATATACTTCTTTAATACTTTGAAATATCCAACTTCAGTTAATTGTACCTATCTTCAATCAGTTACCTATCTTCAAATCAATTATACTTATCTCTAAATGAATTAAAGATAGGTTTAATTCAATTATACCTATCTTTAATTCATTTGAAGATAGGTACAAACGATTTGAAGATAGGTACAGTTTATTTGAAGATGGGTAAAAATCCTTTGTGGATATGATCCAATTGTACCTATCTTCAAATCAGTTGTACTTATCTTTAAATCATCTGCACCTATCTTCAAATGAATTAAAGATAGGTATAATTCAATTGAACTTATCTTCAATTGAATTAAGATGGGTGTAATTCCATTAAAGAAAGGTGTAATTTATTTGAACCTACAAATGTAGGTTTCATTATTTAGAGCTAGATAGGTATAATTATTTACATACACATATCCTTAATTCATGTGGACGTATCTTTATTTCAATTCTACCATCTTTAATTCAATTGTACCTATCTTCAATTCATTTGGAGATAGGTTCAATTGTTTGAAGATAAGTACAATTGTTTGAAGATAGGTTCAAATATTTGAATATCTGTTAATTTGGCGTTCCATAAATTTGAAGATTAATACTAATTAGGGTTATGTAATTAGCGTATAACAAAACAACGTTATCGGCGTCTTCGTGACTACTTTTCATAAACATATCATAGCTATCGCCTTCAATTTTAATAAGCTTTACCACCATCTTGGTATTAAGCATCTCGTTTTTTGAGTTTTGTTAAAACTATTGAATATTAGTTCATTTACACTACGGAATATTCCGTCTATCTGATAGGGCTCACATAACGCTCACATCCCCTTTTGTGGGACGTGGAGATCGGTCTTTTGGATGAGAACGTCTAAACCGAGGTCCCTTGTCGCAGTAGCTGCTGGCAGGAAAATGATCCCTCACTGCTCAAAGGCCATAATTGTTGAATACAAGTTTAAATTTGTAACACTCCACCGGTAACTGGTGGCATCTCAAAATGAGTGAAAAATTCTCGAAGGGATGTTAAACAAAAAAGAAAACAAAACAAACATAAGGCTCACGGCAGGTGTGACCTGTCAACAGCGGATGCTTACCCCCTCCTAGGCACCTGATTCCACCTCTTACTTTCCAGGTGTTCGATTTTCCTCCTCGTTTCACAGATTTGTTTTGTTTGTAGATAAATTTAGATATCAATCACTGTTCGTAATGTTCAGGTTTTTAGCTCACCTCGACGAAGTCCCAAGTAACTATAAGCCCTACCTGGACCAAACTTGCAAGGATGATGCATCTAGGGATGGACACTACCACACTTGCTTCGGTTGCTGGATCTAACCTGCATTTTCCAGATGAGTGACCAGGTTAAAGTTTTTTGGAGCAGGTCCTTTCCCAAGTAACAATAAGATCTACCTGGACTAAACTTGTATGGATGATACATCTAGGGATGGGCACTACCCTGGATCTGACCTAAATCAAGTTACTCTACCGAGCCAACACCTACCGTAAAACGGGACCTCAGTTTTTAAGGTCTTATCCAAAAGACCAGTGACTTTTAATCTATTGCCGGGCGTTTGCAAAGGAACAGTCACTACTGATGTTTAATTACATCTTAGGTTTGACGCAGCGCCTGGAATGAGATATGAATACGAGATTTCCCAATCACAAAGCGAGTGTCCTACCACTAGACTACCGTGTCCGATACAAATAAGAGAAAAATAAATGTTATAGGGATAAAAAAAAAAGATACATTAATTTTATTTTGTAAATGAAAGACATAAGATAGACATTTAAAAAAGAAAAAGGTGCGTGGAGAATCAGCAATCTTTAACTTCAGTTACTCCTGAATGACGATACACAAGATCTACGTACATTGGAATGATCAATTGATTCATTCGTTGTATGTTGTTTAACGTCCATTCGAGAATGTTTCACTCATTTAAAGACGTAATCATATACCGGTGAAGGACTTTGAATTTAGACCTATATTCGCCACTTAAGGCCATTGAGTAGTGAGGGATCTTTATCGTGCCAACGCCTGCCTTGACACAGGACCTTAAAATTTTTAAGTTTGACGCGGCGCG